GCCGCGGGCGAACAACGCAGCGTTTGATTTTGTCTGCAAAGGAATGCTGTGACATTCTGGTGAATCAAATAGGCGATCGTCTGCGCACTGAACACCTTGCCGCGTTCTCTTTGATGAACCCCAAAAATTTTTCAAAATTTGCACATTAATTTCCCATCCATTTGTTGGCTACTGTCTCCAAATTTTACCCCATGATAAACGTGGGTAAATTGGAAAATGAATTGCGATGTATATACACCAATCAAACTTTTTTGAACATCACATCAACTTGCGCGCTCTATGGGTTCCTCATAGATAACACTCTAGTAACTACCTTTGCGGCGTCTGCAAAGTTCTGGACATCATTTTGACGACGCCTATTTCTTCCGCCGACACAGAGCGAACATTCAGCACGCTGAAGCGTATTAAAACGTATCTCAGAAACACAATGAAGCAAGATAGATTAAATACCTTGGCTGTTTTATCCATTCACAGAGACGTTATTTCTGGGATGCATGACTTTAATCAGCGCGTTATTGAGCATTTTGCTTCCAAGAAACCGCGGCGTGTTGCATATATGTTCAAGCAGTAGAAGTCTAGCAGCATATATATCTATGAGTGAGCGACGCATGTTCTTATCTTTGCATTATCTTTCTTTTCTTCATAGTAACGTTTTAAACCTTATTTTAGGTTTTGTCTGCTTTCCCGAAGTTTCTGTTAATATGTCATTGTATTTATCTGGGTAAATATTGCCTTTCCTTTTGAAAGAGGTTTCAAAATAAACTATGTCTATATTTATTAATCCCTTGACTTGGACCGGTTTTAAAGACACTTTCTTATCGTTAAAAATTGTTGCTTTTGCCGATTGGTTGTTACCGATGGAATGGTTTTTATACTCATAAAATGATGGGAGAACTTACAGCGCTCATCCTGTCCCCGTAGATGGGGTTGGTCCCGCAGTAGCTTGCCCCGGTTGTCAAAATGACCACGCGCCGCCACTGTGCTGTAGTATGGCATTCTGGAATATTAGCTGGAGGTGGTGGTAACGAGGACAAAACAACGTTTTCGATGTTGGAAAGAGCTTTGACACTTTCGATAATCGATCGGAAAATACATTCTACTCGAACAAAATATTCAAAAATTAATGGAGTTGGATGGCAAAGATGAGCGGTTAGGTTGTCAGTGGTCAGATTTTGATTGGAGTTGTGGGATTTAAATAGCGAAAGTATTGTTTCTGTCTTTTGCGTGATTATGTTTATGTCTAATGTAACAAAAGCACTCATACACAAGGCACATTCTTTAGGAAGTTCCTTGTGGATACACCACCCAATTAAATAATATAACCCATTTGCCTCGATAAAATCTAACAAGGGAGTGGCGGCACCAACGAGTGTATCGAAAGGGTCAGAAGATATGCCTTCACCGTTTTCATTATTCACAGATGGTAAATGATCCTTAACGAAGCTCAGTAAATGAGGAGTATCGTCAACATCATAGTTGGACGACGTCGGCACATCCATAAATTGTCCCACTATCACGAGCTTCAAAGCATTTCTAAAATGAATCGGAGAAGGATGGGAATTTCCGAAACCTCTGACCTGAATAACAATATTTGCGTTTACGGCTGGTGATATATCATCTTCGGTCGCTTACCTGTGATTGTATTAGACATCTTTTTTTATTATAATCAAAACCCACCTGTGAAAACAAATTTTCAAGAGCATCTTGGGTGAAGCGACCGCTCATTATATAATCTAATTCTCCATTAACAACCAACTCTTGGTGAAGTGATAGCAAAGCAGTTGTGGACAACTTAATTCCTCTCAACACAGGTTTAAAAACATTATCAGGAAAAGCGATGTTTTGAAGTACAAACAAGGCCTAACAAATGATGAAAGATAAATGTTTATCTCTTCGCCGCAGAGTGGCTCGAATTTTTGTTCTTTCAAAACATTAAAGTATTTAAAATCACCTCATTAATTTTCTCCAACTTGCTATCTGAATCTGCATAAAGTGCCGTGTTTGTATGACGACAATTCATCAGGTCGAACCAGTTATTCACAAGCTGTAGGAAAAACGCTGTTGTCCGCGCATGATTTGAAAAAACACCAGCCGCTACGAGTGATCTTAGTGCTGTAGCGACTGTGTGGCTCATCACCTATTTATAACAAAACAGTGATTTGCCATTCAAATTCTCAATATCACGAACTACAGATAAAAAAAACTCCGTGGCAGCATAAAATAATTGAGTTTAACGGGAGAAATTGTAGACAAATTCTACCTGACACGCCATATTAACGCTTATTTTCTCATATGTAGAAGGGAACGCATGTCCTTTCGTAAGCTTCGGGGCTAACTTCATCTCTTTTGTGCCTTGATATTCAACCAGCCTTTTCACAAAGAATGAATCAACCTTTTTGGCTATTTCCATTACAATTGGGCGCTGAACAGCCTGTCATTTTACAGCACACAGTAGCAGCCTGAACGCGAATCAGGTACAACAGACAGAACCGCCGGTACGCACGACAGACGACGCAGCGATTATGATCGAAAATGGCGGCCAATTTCCATTGTTGCGCAACTTAGGTATATAAGGACTTTGTGTGCTCTTACTACATAGTGACACCTTGTGTTCCATCACTAATTAATTAAACTCGCTAATTATACTATATAATTCGCCCAACAGGCTTCTGGTCCGAGATATGATGAATGCACGTGCAAAATCTGGAGCAGATTTAATCTCGCTTTCGTGAGATATCGCGTGCATATAACAGACAAATACGGTATACCTATCAACATACTTACCGATTAAAATCGATAAGTAATAACAAAAATCGAATATTACAGTGAAACAGCCAGACCTCTTACCGATATCGTACCGTATAGACTAGGTACGGTACCTACCGTATCAATTGCCTTGACAACACCTTTCGACCTAAAATATGTCATTTGTCATTAATGAAACGTTTCTTCACATTGAAAAATTATAATAAATATTTAACAGTGACGTGCCAACCCCTCCTGGTATAAGGTCATGTGGCGTACAGCGGTGATTATTGTTTGAAAGAGTAAAATGTAGACCCATCCAATCGGTGGGTCACCGTGAAAAGAGGCTAACAAAGTTACTATGGAGGTTATCACGGATAAAAACGATGGATAGTCCGTTTAACAATATTTTTTGCCAGTAGTCGGTTCAATCCTTGATTTCATGTGCCTTCTATTACATTTAATTCAGCTTTTGGCGTTTTGAAGTGACCGTATTATGAAAATATCAGAACCCGTCAATTTGTTAAAAGGTGAATTAGATACTGTGCCTTCCATATAACCGACACAAACATCCTAGAATTGATAGCCTACATAGTTTTCTATTTACGAAGCAACTGTAATCTGGAAATTTAGATGTGAGATAATAAGCCGTATTTCAAGTCGGGAAAATGGTTTTACAGACAATAGGGTAGTGATAAACATGTCATCAAATTAGGACGCGTCATCTCTTAATTATTGTGCAATATCGAGAACATCAACTTGACCTTAAAAGACGTCCTTGGTTGGTTCGGCAGAGGGAAATCTTGTCAACGCGCATGCAATGGCTACAAAGTACTCGTACCCTGTAGTGCAGTGATTTTCAACTGGGTTCCGCGGCACACCAGGGTTCCGCCAATCAATTCCAGGGGTTCCACAAGTTTCCATTCCAATTCGAGAATCTATATTATTATATGTATATCATTTAAACATAATCAAATAATGCATTAGTACCGAACTTGCTACACTTTTGTATTTTTTGCCAGTATTATAGTTTATACTATTCTGACGATAAAAGACTGCACAGGGGTTGCCCAAGCCTTTGGAATGTTTGATTGGGTTCCGCTCCACCAAAAAGATTAAAAACCACTGCTGTAGAGTGTAGAGAATAACATGTGCAGGAAAATTGCTGGACCACAGGGCATCGCAGAATGGTTCAGGTAATCACTGGTTGGTTACCGTTTTCGCAGCCGCCTCATTGCACAGTCCTGATGTATATTACAGGGTGGTCCAAGGTTGTCGGCTTCGCAGGCCACAAAATTATTTTTGCATTGTTCGCGGGCCACAACAGTGCCAAGAATAGATAAACAGTGCAATACAAAACAAACACTTTTATTGTTAAAACACATAGTTATATATCAGACATAGCCCTTCCAGGCTAGTAGAATCCGCATTCGATTTGTAGTATTCAATAATGCCTATATTGTTAGCATATATTCCCGACAAAAAAGATAGAAAGCCAGATAATAACTTAGACTGCCAAGCACATCATTCAACTTCGCTATTTGCCTCAGCAAGCCATAACACTAGTCAATTCAGTGACATTATTGATGTAACAATATGTCAAAAGATTTTTCTGATTAATTTTATTACGAAACAACACGAAATGCGATTTTTTGATTACTCTCCGAATGTGACGCGGGCCACAGATAATGACGCGGCGGGCCACTAGTGGCCCGCGGGCCTGGGTTTGGACCACCCTGGTATATTATATATATATATATATATTAGAAAACACCACGATCGCGATATTTATGGTCTCATTACAAGTAGTTTAAGAAACTATGACTTTAACGACAAAATGATTCAACTAACAGTTGGGGTTACGTGAAACTAACTACCTTTCCTTGCTCTACTCCTTTGCGCAGGTGGATCCGTATGCGTATAACGCAAGGATGCTGTAGCGAGAGTGAAAATGACTATTCTATTTAATTCAAGAGTCTTGCTACACACTAACACAAATGTATTTCTGTACTGTTCCTCTATTTCTGTACTATTGACAGTTGTAAAATGCTTGTCTGAAGAAGTCTGGCATGGTCAGACGAAACGTTACAGAAATACATTTGTGTTAGTGTGCAGCAAGACTTGATAAATAGAATATGATTTTTAATGCATTCTTTCGTAAAGTCGTTAATTTATATTTCATATTTTTCTGCTTCTCCATATTGACTACTTAAAGCGGACATCTTAATTTGAATTCACACAATGCTGTATTTCAACACAAGTAAGCAAAATTTATAATAAAAAATAACTCCTCAAGAATTTATTGATATATGCATATTCATATTTCCTCTTTGTTATTGAGCTATGTTTTTCCACTTTTCCCAGCTCTTCTTTGACTTATATATTCATCAGTGCATTATATATATATTTGCAATATTATAGCTTATTGATTTAAAATTATCTTTCCTAGTACCTATGTATTCTTAATGTTAGTGGGACAAATTCGCTGGTTTTGGCGACGGGGAATGCTTTATATCTGCTCAGTTAGTTCCCATTGATGTTATGGCAAAGAAAAAGTTTTGTTTCAGTGGTAAGATATAAAATGAAAAAAAAGACATTCAAGAACAAATGGATACGTCAATGTAAATTTGCAACTTTTCGTCTCCTAATTTTCGTCATCAACATCCTTTCAATTGAACTTTTCGGTAATATATATTGAAAATTTTGAAACAGCTTCCCACTTGAATCCGTGTTCAGTGGCTGTGAAAATATCATAATACTAATAATAATCCAACGAGAGTGTTATTCCTGCCTTCATATTTACGAAAACGATTCTTTAAAAATGGTAACCAGACTTCATCGTGGAAAAGGAATGCGACAAAACATGCTAACGTTTTGAATGCCAACTCCATCATCATTTGACATATTGGCAAAAGTATCCAGTATTGAGTATTCAAATGCTTCTTTCCTTTATACTTTTTGGCTTTGGCTCACTTTTGCCATTAAGTTATATTTATTCCCAAATTATACGTAACTATATATATTTGGATTAAAAGAATCAAAATCTTACAGATAAAATTTATGATAGCAACTGGGGCTTGTTCTGGAATTACTTGGAATTTTTGGCAGGAAAGTAAAAAAAAAATGTACATTGCTAAGAATGCATCCTCCAATCCCACATGAAGAAAAACAATATGTGGATAAATTACAACAAATTTCATGTTTCAATTGCCATGATCAACAAATGTCGAACCACTATATTCAATTATTTTTCAATATATATAATACTTACCAAATAGAATAATACATGCTGAATATCGCATCTCTCAATTTACTCATCGTTAGGAGACATATCCACGGATTTAAAATGGTTGGAAGAGAAAAATACACCTAAAAATAAAGTATCAAAGCTCATTCAATTTATTTATTGGGTTTTTTTTTAAAAGCCAACCAGAGTCAGAGGTAAAATTTATTCTGTTCTTTGGAATTATACAATTTATTTAGCACCAAAATGGGCGCTCCCGTAGTATGTGTACCAAGATGGCGGACACCGGAACGTAGTATGTGTACCAGGTTAGGGTTAGGCAATAATTTTATTCAAATTTTCCCTGATTTCAGTTCTATTACGAGTTTGGGGACTAGCCAAATGACTCCCGTAGTATTTTTACCTGAAATTATGGCATAACCCTAACCGGGTACACATGGTACGTTCCGGTGCCTGCCATCTTGGTGCACATACTACGGGAGTACCCCAAAATGCATGCATGAAGATAACACCGCGATTTATATAGCCTATCGTCGCATAATGTGCCATAGCTACTTCTACTCGTTATCCATTTCGTCTATTAAGATTATTTTCATTCTAAAAGTATAGTAGCTAGTCAAATATTTTCGAATGCATACTGACGTTCACCACCTCATAATCTCGTTTATTGAACAATAAATATACTTACCATTATTATTTCGTAAATATAGAAGGTCGAAAATGCTTGGTTTTGAAATAATGTATATAAAATGAGTCCAGTTACAGGCATCCAAAATATCAGCTGTGTTATGGTGATCAACAACGAAAACCTTGACATTAGATCACGATTAAATCCAAATCTTCTTTCAATGGTATAATGAGTCGATTTCCTTCTGCTGGGTATTTTGCTTTTTGTGACCGTCGTAATATCTGGTTCATCGCTTTCTGTTTCTTTTATAATATTTGGTATCTCTTCAAGGTGTTCGCCAGGGTCGGCTCCTTCGACTTCAGAAGTCAATTCACCCGCATTGGAAACGTTTTCTACTTTCATTTCATCATTTTGAAATCCGCTATTGTCTACTTTGATAAATTATAAAATAATGTTCATGTTACATAATATAATATTTTTATTGAAAATTTGTTAGGTACTGTAGAATCAAAAATGGGAATTCTGTAAATTAAACACTGGTACACATTACTTGGACCTGGTACGAACACGTACCGCGAGCATATAAAATACCCTCCAAGGTAGGAAGGACATTGTCACATGATTGCGTCACGCTTTACATGGATAATACGATGCCATATTCTTCTGTCATTAGGAGGCTACTTTAAATTCACTCAAATTCACTAATTGTTCACCAATGCATAACTAGAATTAACAACATCTCACTGTTTGAACAATTCAAAATCTTGAAGATTTTGAAAATTATTAAAAAGATTAAGAATGTTATAAAGGATGAAAAAAGTCCAACACAACTTACTTGATCCTCCAATCATTTTAACTTTGACTTTGACAAATACAACAGTCAATGTGCTGCCGATTAAAAATATGAAGCTGACCCAAAACATGATGATAACAGATAGTGTGTAATACGAAGATAACGGAGATAAAAACTTATTGCAGTGCTGACTGAAAATATAAACAGGTTCATTGATAATTATTTTCGTAAAAATATTCAAAAATTGAATGGAAGGGAAATTAATTCATGTCCACAAAAATAGTACCTGTCACAAGCCGAACTTTCTCCAGGAAACATCGGTCGACGAACGATTGTTGAACAGGTCTCTAGGCAGTTGTGCTCCTCTGGCGTACATCTTGTTAACATTGACAATACAAGATAAACGACACCAATAACCCATACTCCACTGATTGTAATATATGCAGCAATCGGTTTCCTGATATTATAAATGTAATACAATATATTTGATTTTCTGCTTTTAAACAGGTTGCTAATACATATACATTATAGTTTGCATCTGGAGTTTCCAAAAATACTTGGCCTCTCAGTGAAACAGTTTTTTTGACATGTTCTTGCTTTTAATAAAAGATCATACAAAGAATGGCGACGAGATAAAATGAAAAGACATTCTGCCAATCACAGCTTTAAGGTGCATACGTCTTTAAAAATCAATCGTCTACATCTACAAATGTTTAGATAAACTTAAAAACGATTCTTGTCACAATTACAACATCAACATAAAAAACATTTTATCAGTACGGTGTATGAGAGTTATTTCGTGTTAAAAATGTACCGTGGTTTATATTTTTACAAATTTTTTTAGTATTTAGGTAGCGTTGTGACTTAATGGTTAGAGCGTTCGATCTAAAATTGTATCTCTTTACATATATCAGTGGTTGTTTTTCAGAGCCTTGCTTGGAGCGAAAATGGCAACGATTTTGCCTTACAGAAGATGCTTCCATTTTCAATTACTGAAACCAATACTGAACTAACCTAATCTAATAACAATTTCTCAAAACCTTCCATAGATGAATTTCTAATTTATTTGAAATTATTTATGTGCTTGTTATACGATTTAAATGATATCTCAGTAATTGATTCTGACGTACAAAAAGCAAGAAAATTATTTTTTTAAAATTAAATTGTACCGAAAATACTTCCGAATTCTCGATTCATGTTTATTCTCCATGTTTTTCAGTTGTTGTTCAAGCAGTCTCGTTGTAAATCGTGAATATGTGAAAAATACAGATGCGTTGACCAACGACACGCTAAATACAATAAGAGAATTGTCACTCATGTTTCAATGTTTTCATTTTCGCACATCCAAGATAGATTTATCATGACAGAGACATAATGAATTATTGCCAGAAGAGTTCAATCCAGTAACGTAATTGAACATATTGACTTGAAACACGTCAAGTCTCGCGTCAAGTAGCATCTACTGGCGAGTAATGCATCTATTTCTATAAATCCATATGGTGTCAGGCAATGTTCCCTCTAATTTTTTGTAGTATGTGTGCGCAGAAATTTTGGTATGTGCGCACTTTTTTGGAAATAACTAATATTTGTGCAAAAACCAATGAAGAAATTTAGGCGTTCTAACCGGGTAATAAGTGGGCCAACAACAGACTTTCTCAATCTGCCAACGGAGCACATTGTTACATTACATCGAAATACGTCTGTGCGCAGTAAATCTATGCGTGTGCGCACCCTCTGAAAGCTGTGTGCGCGCGCACACGCGCACACCTTAGAGGGAACACTGGTGTCAGGTATAATCAGTATGCCAGCAAATTTCAGTTCTTAAACATTGCAGTGAGTATTATCTCTGAGTGAGTGCCCGTGGCCCGTTCATTTTATTAAATTTAGTGGAACAACATATGGGTGACGGGTGAGAACGACACTGAGCAAAACTCGCATATCTGGAAAACGTTTGCTTTCTACTTATCTATAGAAAACAAAAGGTAATCGAGACCAGTAAAGTTAAATTTAGGAACAATAGTACATCGGAAATTGATGTCTCCTCCGATTTAAAATAAAATTATACATCAACAATATCATTCAACTAATGAATAAATTTTGGAAATTGGTACGGTGTATGCTTCACACACCAATCGAAAATTTGTTCAATATCTCAAAAAAGGTAAATATTATCATATATGTATTTATATTCTATATCATGTGTAAAAAATTTCCACGAAATGCGTAATCCCACAAAAAAACTTTTGCACCATCAAAAATAACTAGATACATCATTCACACATCCAAAAATATAAGTGTTGGAGCTTTGATAAAACTGATTCACCGAACTGAGGTTTTGAAATGTGTTTTGTGCTAATAGGAATATCACACCGATAGTAACAATTAATTACAATTTATATAATCATTCTAATTATTTTGAATTACGATCACTTGAAAGATATTTCGTGAAACGAAAAGAGGACCGTAACGACCCAGCAACCAAGTTACTGTTTCGTCTTAATGATGTGGACAAGCATTGTTGAATGTTGAGAACCCATTGTTATTGAACGTCATAGATAGATGACGAGTGACGTGACAGTGGCGTTTCTGGATTCACATAACGATAAACGGATGTGAAAAAAACATTAAAGATTGTTGTACCATATTGTATAACTTGTGATTAATTTTATCAGATTCGCGACTCACGGCACTCCCGGAAACATTGCGCGTCAGATGGGATATTTTATAGTTTCTTGTTATTCATGATTTTATATATACGTGACAATTGCCATTCTTTTACTATCAGTAATAGTACTATACGTAATTACTATACAAGTTGGCTTAGCATTAGTAAAACTGAGAAATGTCATTTGTTTTGCCTTCTGAAAAGCGATATCTTGTCTTATACATTGATAAACAGACACGTTGCAGGAGAAAAATAAAAATTTCAATAATTGTCCCAGTTCACAACTTTTTATGGTAATTTTCAATACTGTTACCTTGTTCGAATAAATCGCAAGATGGGCAAAATTACATTCATTACGAACACAATTTCTTGGTTTGTGCGTGGATCGTGATGATGATTTGAATGATATCATGACAAATTTAAAACTTAAGTTCGGCTATCTTGAATAACTTCAGACAAAAAGTCGATAAAAATGCAACAGCTAGTAGGAAAGTTTTTTAAGTAAATTATGTTCATAAGTCAGAAACGAGATTTTGATAAAAAAAAAACTAAACCCTTGAATACGCATATGCATTACTAAGAAACAAATGCATTCATAATCACATTAAAATTTTGGTAAATTGTACGAACTGTTTGTAGTACAAATTTGAAACATTACCTGAAAGTGGATGCCATGTGCATTGTTGCATAACCTCCTTTAATAAACGCGATGAGAATTGCAGGCGAATTGTAGAATTTCAAAACCTGAGACAAGCAAAATGATACTTTGAATAATAAATAATACATAGTTCGAAATCGGCGGCACAAGTGTTACCAATATCCACACTTCAGTGGGCCGAAATAAGACCGAAATAGCATGAAAATCATTTTAAATCACATTCCTCTCTGATAATCTTATCTGTAAAACCACCTTAGATAGTAGAACATATCTCGCGTCATTGAGAAGGAATTAATATTGCATAAACCAAATCAAAACTGTTTAAATTTAGAATCTAGATTCAGAAATGCTTCGTTCACGCGAATTAAAGTAAGCTACAAATACAGTTGTTTGTTTGCTTTACTAATACGTCATTATTTCGTCACAATGAAAGTAGAACGAAAACAAAGGAAAGAGTTAAATTTTCCATGGCACGGGGTAAAATATAACACTGAAGTAAGAAAACACAAATGTGTGCAAAATTATTTTGGGTACTCCCGTAGTGCGTGTACCAAGTTAGGTTAGGCCATAATTTTATTCCGATTTTTCTTATTTTCGTTCTATTACGAGTTTGGTGACTGTCTGTGTTAACCAAGTGAATGTACCCACTGCCCATAGGTTTCAGTCCCTTTTCAGTTTACACAACTTGATGTAAAGTAGGCGAACAAAATTACTTACCTCCATATTGGTACACACAATTCTGGAGTGCCATATTTTGTAATGAAAATGATACCCCAAAGACACTAAAAATTAAAAACTTTTACAAATAATACTCACGTTCATACAAATTGAGAATAAGGCAACCATCAAATCTGCACATATGAGTGAAGCCACGAAACGATACAAGTTAGACAGAAACTTTGACCAGTAAATAATCATTGCAATAAGTAGAAAAGAATTTTCCAAAATGGCAATCACAGAAACAACAATCCCTGCAGTTCTTACTGCGTTGTTTTCCTGCGATAAACAGATTATTTCGTCATCCAACGAGGTGGAATTTAGTGCAGAAGTGAATACATCTGCTTCTGTAGATGACAATTCGCTCATTTTGCTATTTCAAATTTGCTATTTTTCGGTGTTGTATAGGCTAATTCTTCTTCGAAACGAGCAGTCTGTGTGTAAAATGTGCCAGCATACAAACTGCAAACAAGCATATTATCGAACTAATTAAACCGCAAATCGAAATAAAAAGATAGCATTTCATTAATATGTAGTAATGCATAATCTGCATACCACTGCAGATTTTGCCAAAACATCCGCAAACAACTAACCTTTAAAAGAAACAAAATCTGGCGTGAAATTTAAGCTAGCCTAATTGTGATACTATCAACATTCCATTCCAGAATTGTAAGCCGTTCGTGGCTTATCGGGGTTACGCAAATTTCCAAAAGCCATTTACTTGTCCAGATTAAACGCATTACTGAATATTGTAGATTTTAGTGATTGTGTGTCTTTTCTACGATTTCGTCAATTGGGTTCAGGTTGTGTTTTCGGTTTCGCCGGTTTGAGTCTTCAAATAGTGCATAAGAACAAGTCTATGCGCAAATTCCTTACATTACAAAGTCCACATATATATACGTTGCTGTAATAAATCTACTTCTCTTTTATTTACAGATCTATCTGCTTCTAAGCTGAAGAGCTATTGCTAATACCGAATACTTTATTTTCATTAAGCCATTGTTTAAAAACAGTATTAGTATCGAACGTGATCCACGTCATGATTTGTAAACTATATATATATTCACGTAGATACGTGGGATGATGATTGTTGATTTTGAACATAGAATTTGCATTGACACATTGTATACTCGTGCACAAGGTTGTTAAATGACAAAAATGGTTGACCATTCGCTGTTTGACTACATGTTGGTGGGAGGTTTCCTGGCTCTGTATGGAATTTCGACGAAACCATCAGTCAATGCTATCTGTCCTGATCTAGAGTAAGGAGCGATACACGTTAAATGGCGTTCATTTTACTAGTTTGGATTCAAACTGAAAAATATGGACCAGAGTATGCTTCATGACAAGAGTTTTTGGACAAAGGTCGATATTTACATTTGCATTCTAACCTCTGGTATTCTACAATTCGTCCCAATCCAACATCGATACAAAGTATAACAAACAGCCGTACTTGGATCTTTGAAGCTACTAAATCTAAAACAGACGAAACATCACACTTTTAATGCAAACGTAATTAAATCACCCGCTAACCGCTTGCCACCTATTTGTCTTAAATATTATATATTTATTTATGTATATATATATATATCTATATCCCAACTTGAAATACCAGGCGGTCGCCTGGATGGTTATAGAAGGAATTAACCCTCCAATACATATAGTCATATGCTTAATGAACCTTTATCTTTTCGATCACAGGTTTTGAAACCAACGAGTTTTTAAAAAATAAAAGCAAAAGTTAATTCAAAAAACTTCATCTTATCTAAAACAGTTCTATAAATAATTTAGTTGCTGTTTTTTGCCAACAATCATACATTTACGTGAATTATATGCCTGCTGTACACCACGCTTTGCTTCGATAAATTCTGCCGTCGCAAAAATAGTTCTACCATTACGTATTAAAGGCTACAACTATGCAGGCTGTTTTCCTATTTCTGGTCCAGAGCTAAATTGGTAACAATCAGATCTCATCACAAAATCAAGCGAGTAAAAAGCAAAACGAAAATTTTAGTTTTAATCAGGCTTGGTTTTTGAAAACTGAACTTTGAATAAACATTAACTGTGAATATGATCTATTTAAATTGTTGACTCGGTGTTTTGAATAAAGTTTATGTTTTTATTAATTCTAATTTAGCCGAGCCAACATGATAAGCCCGGCTCTCACTAACTGGTCGACATTAAATAGACAATTCTGCTAAAATGGTCTCAAAACTATTCAAGGAGTGTCGAAATTTATGTAATCTTACATAAAAGGTAATGAATATTGATCGATATTGAACTCAAACTTTCTTTTAATTCGGGCTGGATTTATCTCTAAATATACCTTCACATTTCATGAAATAGTACATTCATATTTTATTTTATATGTATCGTTTCACGGCATAATTTTGTTTTGTATACATTACAAACTGTAGCCGAGTCATGCCTAATCTTGACTGATCGATATTACAATTTAGTAACAGTTATTTTGGGAAAGAAACGTCGGCGACGACAAACTAGATTCTGCATGTCAAATTTTGTGCGTAATACAAAGAATTATTTCCGCTATATCTGTATCTCCATGTCCATGTCAAATCCATGACTAAAGAAATGGGTTTGCTAACAGGTAAATGTTTAAATATTAATACGTACAGCCGACATATTCTTATTAAGTATGTATATCTCTATCTGCTGATAAAAAATAGCCTAAAATATTGCTCTTGCTGTGAATATCTTAAGTTTTTCATACCGATCCCGCTATCTCAATTTTTCATACTCAATTACTCAAAATAGCTGTCTTTTTTGTGCGTTTAATTGGACCAACAATCCAATAATGTGAAGCATCGTTCTTAAATATAAAAACGATTTGATGCTAATTTTTAGGATAACATTTAAAAATTAACTCAGTTTAAATTTCCCTTCAAACTGGTATTATTTGTGAACTTACCTTTGCTTGAATGAACCGTTTTAAAAGATGTCTCTATCAATGACACCATTCTATTTGTGATCTAGATATTCTCCTCGCCTTACATGTAAAACTGAAACTAAAATAGCTCCAACTGTGACAAAACACTCTCAATCTGTTATTGCTCAGAAATTGTGCACCGAACTTGACAAAAATGCAGGTGCGTGTGAGGCTAGTATATCACCGATAGATAAAATACATGCGGATTTCGGAGTCCATTTGAATTCCTTTCCCTTCCACGCAACGTTTAAAAAGGTCAATAAATAACTATACCGGTAGTCCGAATATGCGAATTATTTTTAAGCCTGTTTAACAAATTGAGAATTATGGCTCACAGAAAGATACATATATAATTACTATTAAATACCGTTAATCGGCTTCAGTTTTTTTTTACAATTTCTATAACGTGCTTTAAAGGGCTTTGAACTAGACTACATCAGTACATCAGTCCTTGTGTTATCGTGGTGATGCGTGGGATCTATTACGCATATTATTGCAATAATTAGTATGGAAACGAACGTATATGACTGCAAGGATTAAGGTTTCGGTGAATGTCATATGTCATTTTAGGTTTGTTCATAGCACCTTCTTTCCAGTAAAACAACATATCGCGGCCGAAGGTTGGTATGGTCACTAATTCGCCTCGAATTAGGGTAGCTGACGGGTAACTGAAACACTTTTATCAAGCAATAATGACACATATCAGTGATTTGCCGATCTCCTTATAAAAATCGGATACACCGTATCAATTATATACCAAATCGTCAACGTTCTGGAAGATAAATAAAATTATAACAGAAACTGGTAAACTGTCCATGAACTTCTTTAAACGTCGTATCTGGTTACCATATTTTGCAGGCGAAATATGCAAATTGTTAGAAATGCTATTCTAACTCTAATTCACCTTCTGGCCTTATTCCGTGACAAAAAAATTACTAAATGTGGCAACGATCTATAACATGCCTATAAAAATCATCTTCGTGTCACGTTCCGATCTACTACAACAAGGTATTTCAAGGGACGACACAAAACGAATGGCACGCTTTACCGATTCAATTCATGGTCCATGAGGTCGGTTCATGTTTGAAGGATGATGAATCTTGTTTTCGATTTTTTATGTTCTGTACTAGTTTTTTCAACAAATATATATTTTTTTATCTGTTCTGGAAAGATGCTTCAAATATCACTCGTAAAACTATGAGTTATACCTTCGACATGATCTCAAATATTGATCAACAATGATGTTTGGTATAATGGGCTTTGACGAGACCCGAGATAAAAAGTATTTGGATTCCTCCCTCAAATTATAAAATCCGATATATTTCCAAAATGGTTGTTCCCGTAAATGGAGTATTAGGATTCTTAATTGTTATTCAGTAAATGGCGGTTGGCGAGGTTATCATTGATGAGATTTGTGAAAAATGACAAAATCGAATCTCACACGTCAAACGTTCCTAACGTAAGAACGTAATGCCTTCCTTTTTTAGGCGCGATTACATAAGCGTCTTGACTCAATTAATAATACTATATTATTGTCTATTTCATACAAAAATGCTCAAAATTGATTTTGGCGATGTTCGCCTGTTAGAGACTAACTGTCATTGGGCGGATAAAAAGACGTTTTATAAAAGTGCGTCTCCCATTACGAAAGCGATAGGAGTTACGGTAACGAATCGCATTATCCACAGCTGTATTCACTGTAATCGTTTCTATATTTATTTCTAATATAGCTCTCATCACCCATATGGTGCAACGGGCTGATGAATTTTCGCAGTTAATCCTAGCCAACTCGTTGTCATTTCTATAAACAATCAACGGAACCATCGTTCATATTATACTAGTCATCTTTGGCCATAATTTTGTCAGACAAAATTATAGAATATTCCATCATTAATAATTTAAACTATATAAATAGGTATTATACAGATATCTATTCTAATAATGCTAATTCTAATATGTGGATTAATTGGCACAAAATAATCTGATCAATAGCATGCAAACTCATTTTACAATCCAGACTATGACACCGTTTAAAAATATAAAGTTCTCATTTTGCCCTATTTTTCATCAGAAACTCGAGATAAAAAATTGAACTTAAAACTCTTTCGCTGCCATCAATCCTAAAATTTTTGAAAGATATTCAACTTTATTAGTTTCCTATTTCTGTTACCAACATTTTTGCTTCAATTGTTGAGCAATATCCTTGTCTCAAAAAAAACTCATTGACTGCACTGGACTTAGTGTACCCACGACTTCTATTCTGTGCTACAATATATAGCGAGTGCATACAAAGTATATCGATTTGCATACTTTCTGTTTTTGAAAAGACAATCCAAAGTATAAAATACCCTCTGAAAGAATATTGATTATTATAATAATAAGGTACGAGCGCGCTGTTTAAAATGAAGTGGTGTTACTTTTTTTTATTGCATCTTTCCTCTTGAGGGCACTATAGTATTTCCCTGATTTAATTATGAATGGAATATTCAAATAATAAACATTTAAAAAAGAAAACTTTTTAGGAATGACTCTTATTGGCAATTTGAATATTAAATAAAAGTATAATCAAAGTGTATGAGTAATATCAAGCGTAATTATTATGAGGGGATACACACCGTCAATTGTTTTTTTCCGTATACAGTTAACACAAAAGCAATTCTTCCACGTATCTTTATCTGTTCTATTAAAGGGTACGAAATATTTATCGGATACGAAGTGTAACCACGGCTCGTTTTGTTGTTATGTTGTTGTTGGTGGTATTCTTCTTGTTGTTGTTATTAATATTATACGGGATTTTTCCCAAATGTAGGGTATGGTATGGTAGACATTTTACCACGTCAAGAATTCTGAATTTGCCCTGAATTAACTCATATTTAAATTCTTGATGGGGCAGAAAAAGCATTGCGTTACAGAGAGGAATAAGTATTATACGTATTACTTTGATGCGATGCTATTCCTATAAAAGATCAAGTCGAGCACACGTTATCCCCGTGACGAACTACAATTCAAATTTTTCCATTACCGATTACATGACTTTTCAGGGAGTATGTTGTACTGCTTACCATGAGATATTTTACACTACATGGTGGCTCAGTGATAACATGTTATTTATTAATTACTTATCTTTCCCCGCAAACTATTCATCATGTGTGAAAACAATATGTGATCTGGTGCAAGAAATTATTGTGTAGCGAATGGAATAATCCACTGCTCTTGTCTTAAGTTAAGATTTTGTTGATCAGAGACGTAGCCAAGCATTTTCAAATGGATATTCTGAAAGATCTAATTGCCAAGTTTGACCGTAACAGCTAGCGGGGGGTTTCAATAGTTTTGAAGGTATGAAAAGGGGAGTGGGGGGGAGGTGATTTTAGGGGTTTATACGATGGTCATAGAATGTATTTTGAGAGGTAAAAGTAAGGAATATCTTCCAGCATGTGTTACTTGACTTGACTTAGTACTTGAATAACTTTCAGCATTTCTTACTTGACTTGACCCCATACTTAATTAAGAATATTATTACTTATCGATTTCAATCGGTAAGTATGTTGATAGGTATTTGTCTGTCTGTATGTCTGTTTGTTTTTCTGTTAGATGCACGCGATATCTCACGAAAGCGAGATTGAATCTGCTCCAGATTTTGCATGTGCATTCATCGTATCTCGGACCAGAAGCCTATTGATTTTGGGCGAATTATGTCGTTTTATTAGCGAGTTAATAATTAATTAGTGATGGGATCTAAGGTGTCACTATGGAGTAAGAGCGCTGTTTTGGGGATCCTCTAACTTTCGATCGTTAAGTCTCTGACCGATATTCTCGTTTTATTGTTTCTACCTTTATGAGTTGCAAAAAATTACAATAAAAACAGCGCATACCAAAAGGTTTTAAAATACATGACTATATTTTAACATGTATATAATCTATATATACCCATTTAAAACCGTGTCCGGAAAATCCGCCACAGAAAATTTCTTACTACTTGAATACTTGTTTTACAGCAAAATTCTCGCGATTTTTCATGCGCGATTTTTCGTATGCGACGAAATTCCCTGCGGCGAGATTTCCTACGGCGAAATTTCCTGCAGCGAATTTTCCTAGAACCATTTAAGACATGCTATCCTATGTAGCAATCTTGCTGTTGATACTCAAATTTCATTTAACCGAGCTTGCATTTGCCGCATTTTTTAAAATATTGAATAAGCTTTGTGTTGTGAGTTCTCAAGATATTTTGACTCAAGTAGAAAGTGCCGTCATGGATGTGCATTATCATGGAGATACAGACAGTGTGAGATATCTCACCACCTCTGCAGAAACATCTTCAAGTTTACGATCTTATGGATTGTCCAGGTGACGTTATACTGAAATGAACAAACAAAATTATTATTGATTCGCGCAAGAAATTTTCGTCTTGAAGAGGCCGACACTTCTCTTTATTTTGGAATCACATCAAAATAATTGTTTTAGCCATGCGCTTAAATGAATATTCATTTAATCATTTTGTCAAAGTAGCGAGTCAAAAAAGGCAATACATTCACTAGAGAATTCCATTCATTCGGAAAGCAAGAAAACTTAAATTGAAATTGACTTTGTATAGGAAGTGTTTAGTAACATGGAAATGATTGAAACTGTCATTGAACTTTACTTGTCCACGGGCAGAAATATTTAGAAAAAATTACTTATTATATTTAATTTATCTATTTGTTTGTAAATATTGTATAGAGTGTGTTAGTTCAGAATTTGATTTTGAATTGGTTAATGACGCAAAAGACCACTGATGACATCAGTGCCAAATAACACATGAACAACAACAATATTAGAACAGTTTAAAAAAGAATTCTAAGCCTGAATATAAGTGGATATAAACAATGGAATCTGGCCACCGGAGATCTATCCAATCATACAGTATACTCACTACTCGAAATAGGTTCTTTAATTTGTAGACAACGTCATGTTCTATTTCTCATACAGAATATCTTCTCTGTGGTCCCATACGCGATCTATGCCGCGTGACCGATTGGTGGTATTTCTGGCACTTGTGTTATCATTTTCTGCGTTTCTCTTGAGCATAGCATCATATGTAGATCGACCAGGAGGACACCAGGTATGCTTTAGATTTGAAAATGCTATTTACTGGTATATATTAATAATAATTTAAGTCAAGGTGGTCCACACCCTGACACGCGGGCTGTAGGAAGCATGCGTAAGAAATGGGGGGCACGAAGAATAAATTGTCTTGTGCAGACAGGGCCCGGCCCATGATATGAGTCGCGCTTTTCATCTCAAGTTCACATCTTAAACTTGCGCCAAGTAACTCCTCATCATGAGGGACGATTTGTGCCCTTATTTTATTACAAACACACCCTTGTTTTTAAGCGTGATCCACGTGACAGAAGTGATAAAACGCAGATCTGAAGCAGTATCCAAAAGCAGGAAACAATACATTGCTTTGTTGTCTTGTTTGAACTTTATAAATCTTCCTTAATACAAAACAAAAAACGCCACGCATGCGACCTAACAATAAGCTGATTAGAACGGTAAACTATCATTCTCCGATATATTTAAGGAAACTAAACTCGCCGTATTTTGATCACATTTATGTTTTCCCGACTGCGGCCCGCGGGGCTTCTTCAAATTTTTTTGCGGCCCTTTAACCTCGCCACTTTGGAACTCTCTGATTTAGGTTGTTGGAACAAATAGCCAGAAACTGGTTAAAAATGAATCTTGAAGTACCTAATATTGCAATTCACTTCTCTTGTTGTGGATCGCAATTACGTTAACACAACTTTAAAATACATTTTTCAATGTATTCCTTCCATCCTATGCAATGTAAGAAAGAGAATTGCCACCAATTTGTGAAAATAATCGGAATATCACTTTTACAGATATCTGATGCGGCGAAGTTGGACGTTCCCAGAGAAGAAATACGTTTTCCAACTTTTAATTATTCCTCAACAACTTCGTTATTCGAAAACGAGTCCTATTCAGGGAGTGGAAGTGGAATGAGTCCAGAAATTTCAAACGATACTTTTATCGAAGTTATGAGCGACCTAACTTTGGAACTTGCTGGAGACGAAATGATAAACTGGGAGGCATCGTTGATATCTAATATTACAGACCAACTCCGAGGATTGTTACAAGTCAATGAAAATAGGACTTTACATGTGGCGGATCAAATACAAGGTTTAAAACATTCACATAGATTGTCGAAATCACAGTTGGAAGACCTTAATGTGGTATTGAATCAGATTCAAGACGCTCACGTAAACAATTCAGAGTCGATAGCTGATTTGAAAATTTATAATGAAAACTCTTTCCGCACCATTTTAGGGTTGATTATGACCTCACAATCGCTCCTACGGGACTTGGCGGTAGAAGCTCATGTTCAAAAATCTACTCTGAATGATTTGGAAAACGTCTTGGAAAGGAAAACGAATTCATTAGAAAATACAATCAACGTTTTGAACAAGGAAAAAAATATGACTACATCTGCAATTCTGTCAATTCAAGATCATCTCGATCAACTTCGATCTCAGATGAATTCTCAAAAAATAGATTTTCAGAGTGAAATAACTGACCTGACTGATAAAATAAACCAATGTCTGACAAAAACTCAAGGAAACGCGAACGCAAACCACGTCATGAAGTCTCAAATACAATCACTCAAAACAAGTGCAACATCTCTTTCTTACAACCCAGCACAATTGACTCAGTTAGAGTCACGTTTAACTTCAGCGATACAAGGGGTTCGAGGAAAGGGTCAGATGATGGAAGCTAAACTGCAATCACTGTCAAAATCCGTGCACGATATAGATCTATTTCGATTCGATGCTAACGCGACAATTACAAATATGAAACTAAAACTACAGAGTAAGTAGAGTAGCGTCTTTAAGATGTTATCAAAACATTATAAAAATAAGTCTGTGTTGAGCCTTTTTTAGTGCTATTTAGGATAATATAAATCTGCGATAGTTGATCAGGTTGAATACGTTACTTCATGGGTTACAAACAAATATGTATCACGTACCGATGAGAAAATGCCTTGGTTGATGGTTGGTAGAAATACCTTTTGAGTATTGATAGATTTTAAAATTGAAATATATGCCACGGTTCGGCCAAATATCAATAGATAAAAATATTCATCTGGGTTTGCAGGAAAAGCAAATCTCGGATGGATTCAAGCCCCAAACGGATATGAGTATCATGTGACATTGAGCGAATACACAAAATGGGAAGAAGCAAAGGCGAAATGTGTTTTTCTTAAAGGAAAGCTTGCTCACATTGGCGTGAGAGACACAAATATGCACAAGTATGTAAATTAGTGTTGTGTACTTCGAATATTCGTAGTCGAATCATATAGGCCTATATATTTATAAATGGCAGAATATTATGAAAATATATATTATGATTTGCGATAGTGATTGTATAAATGTTTATTAACACAGTAAAAATTAAATATTTCTACTTTTGAGTGATTTTTAAAAATTACTTTCCAGCTTCATCTTCACAAATGTAGTGGAACCACGTGGACGAAGCGCATGGATTGGTCTAACAGATAACCGGAGAGAAGGCTCCTGGGTATGGCTTGATGGGCACCCTTTACAAGACTCTGAAGCCTACTGGGCAGTAGGACAACCAAACAACATTGTCAGATACAACAAGGATCAAGACTGTGCAGAAATTGACATTAAAGATGGACAATGGACCGACTTGTGGTGTTCGTCCCAAACAGAACCAAATGCTGCCCTTTGTGAGAGAAAGTCATATTAAAATACTACATATATATATATATATATATATATACATAAAGACTTTGGGTTAAATTTTTATTAACACTCCACACTATACACTGGCACAAACCTGGTGTTCACATAACTTGTCTAATAATGTGAAGAACACTATAGCAAGTCAACAAGTTAAGATGTTTCTGCAAAACATTGAATTTTTTAAAATATTGTTGTGAATTATAAAAATGTGTCAATGAAATTTAGAAAGAATATCCATTTTTCTTATTATCTAGTTTCCAAGTATACAGAACTTCTCATGCATATGGATGTTACTGTTGCCGCCATGTTAGGCATACACTTCTTACTCAGCTACGAATTTACGCTAATTTGGATAATTCTCACAAAGAGTCGAAGAAATTACCTATAAATCTTCCAACATTGTAAGTGGTGTTGGCTTCCCTTTCAATAAAAAAAAATTGATCAAATTATTTAAATGTTTTGATCATTCTGAATTAAACTCAGTTGTCGCTCAAAGAAGTCATCTGCCGATGGCGTATGACACTTCAGGTAAAAAGGTGCATACAAACTAGAAAGGCACGTTTCAATCTACCTTGCATTTAAGCTGAGTTGGTAGTTATTCATTACTTTTTATTAAAAAAAAAAATGATAATAAATATTGCCACTAAAACTCGAAAAAATATTCGTGGACGACATTGATACATATATATATATATATATATTTGAGCGTGTAATAATACTGAATTGCAATAAATATGACACTATGTAGTCTATACAAAAGATAAGTCGAGCCATAGATGAAGGCAATGCCGAAGCGCATATCACATATGCTGAAAAATAACAATGCCGTAACCAAAATAAGATAGTGGCACAGAGCAGAAAAATGACCAAGTCGTTTGGTGCGGTTTATTCAATACCTTTTGAGAATTTTGCTAGAATAGTGTGAAATGATAATTGAAGTGTCTTTGTTCATATGACAAATGATTCATTTTCCCTTAACTACTTACTGTAAAAACGCCTCCCTGGATCGTCTCTAATTATTTTTATATTTGATCATTTTTATCCAGTTTCCCCTAAGAGGACTTGCTTCTTCACACCTTATTTTGACTCCTTCTAAATATTGCCCATTCGAGAGTTTTTGTCTGATTGATTTGGACAATCACGTGATCAACAAACGCAGCCTGTTGGCGTGATGGCTGGTATTGTGCCGGGGCGGGAATTTGTTTTTGCTTTATTGATTATTGATGTTTGTATTGTCTTGGGCTCGAGTACAGAAGTATGAGTAGTCAGAGCTGTGGTTTCGACCAATATATCTTCCAAATGAGTAGATTCGACATTTCTTGTCTGACTCCGAGCACCTCTGTCCACGCCACTCTGCTTTAGCATGACGTCTCTTCTTGTTCTAACTGCCGTGTAGGTCGGACGTGTTTTGGTTGCTCTGTATTTTATCTATTCAACTAGTGTGTTACAGCTGAGAAATACAGTCATTTTACGTCTGTGATCAGACTATTCAACATATTGTGTCGCTTTGAAGCACAAGGAATCGTCTGGGGGATATACAGGAATTCTGGTAAGCATACCTATTTGTGAAACCGCATCACTGCTGTAGTCTAGCGATAAGGGTGCGGGTGTCATATTGTTTTAGTCGTTACTGATTCTAGAATCAGGAGTTTCTCATTCATAAAAACTTTTGTGACAATGAATGTTTCTTATTATTTGCTTAATTTTCTTATGGCTAGCAGTCCTTCATTGAGTTGATGTAAATCATTCATGTGTGTGCCAGTGGCGTCGTACTAAGTTTCTCCAAATTCGTATCTTGTTGATTGTGGATAATTGATGAATTTTACATGTAAGAATTGTTATTTATGGTGACTTTTACCTGTTTTCTGTAAGGAAATAGATATATTTTTATGTGAATTTATATATGATATGATTCGATGAATACTCGATTGCCCGTTGTTTGAAGGTATCGGGCACTACAACTAGCGAACTGACTACCCGCGGAATGATACAAGATTAACTATTCGAATTTTGCATATAAGCATGGTTATTTCTGGTGACTTTCACCCGTTTTTTGTTAGGAAATAGATATATTTTCATGTGAATATATTATATGATTTGATGAATACTCGATTGTCCGTTGTTTGGAGGTATCGGGCACTACAACTAGCAAACTGACTACCCGCGGAATGATACAATATTAACTAAATATATAATAATTTAATTTTAAATAGTGGACTGAAGTTTTTTTTAATTTTTTCTTTAACCCCCAAGAGTTTTTTTGGACCCTAAATCAAATTTTTAACAGTGTATCTGTTCAGAACTGAGGGTCCCGGACAGTGATGTAGTACTTCACAATTAAGTAGGAAAGCAAAGAGTTCTGTTTTCCTCATCCAGAATTAGAGTAGATTTGGCGGATTTATGTTTTGCCTAGCGAAATAAATATTAACTAAAATTTTCATTTAATTACAAAATTTGTGTTACCCGACAAATTTAGCTATCCAGGTCATTTCTTTATGATAATATTCTTCTGCTTCTTGTATGGTTGTGGTGAAAGAATGAGATGAAGTTTTTGGCATAACCAACATTGTCAGACCAGCACTGAGTCCAAGAACTCCGAATAAAGCCTAAAATTTGAATAAACGAAATTATTACGATAAATTCACAACCACGCTTCAATATTGCTTTTATTCTGGGCCAAGTTTGAACTAAAGCGAAGATAAGAAATAATTATCCCGTAATCACTATTTGCTAATACGCATTGCTGAAACCACACGATTTCTTCTTTAACTTGAATGCCTGCTAATTAAGAACAGGCTGAACTGCTAACGAGAACTGGGCTCGTTAGCTTGTGACTAGTTGCGAGCGCTCCAGCGTGTTGAAGAAAGTTGTCGAATGCCAATTTATTGAAAAATGTGAGGAGGAAGCACTTTACGAGGCGTTTAATTCGGCGCGAAAGAATTATCTCCAATATTTACGATATTTGTGAATCCACTTTTCTCGCAGCATGGACTACCAGTACTGTGAAGAACAGTGGTTCTCAACCGGGGGGCGGTGTCTCCCCAAGGGGATCATGAAGCAGTTCGAGGGGGGCCACGACACAAGTCTAATAATTGATCATAACGGGATTTCGTTTGCATACTTTCCTTTAAAAATACAATTCCCCGTTCAGGCCTTCACTGCAGCTTCATTACCTGAATATGTTGTTCGATCACAGGGTGTATTTACTTTATTGTGCGTGAATTATTTGTTTGTAATAGATTTTTGAATCTACCAATCAAAATAGTCGCTGATAGGCCGCTGGTAACCGGCAGACGGGCGGTTTCACTAGACTGCGAGATAACCTTCGCTATCGTATCATAGAGGCAAAAACCGATTTGTAAATTCCTAATGCCCAAAATACGAAAATGGAACGACAGTTATGTTGGCTTTACAAAATGCTCTTGCGTAATAAGCAATGAATCATCAAGTCCATCTAAACTCCAAAACCACCATGACAAAAATCATCCCCGGGTAAAAGACGTTGGCAGTTTCTTGGCTGCCAATTGAGTTGGATTTGACAAGAAAGCAACATTGGCCAAGTTTGATTTCTGTCGGAGGAAAAGCCTGCTCTTGAATGCAGCTATAAAGTGGCATCGGATTCTTACCCATCACTTAGCAAAAAGCTTCTTCACTGCTAGTTCAATTTGCCACAACTTATCTGTGCCTATCTGGTTTTTCTGGTCTTGTTACCATCAAACAAAATCTAGAAACCGTCTTGATTTTGACAGTGACACTCGTCTGGCTATATCTAAGACAGTGCTTAATATAAGCAATCTCTTCGGACAGTCCCGAGTACAAGATTCTCATTGATTGTATACTAAAAAGCTTGGATTTTCTTGCCTGTGGTCTGTTTTTGCATTCCATAAAAGGTCTTAAATACATTATACAATCCAACATGTTTCCTTTTTGTTTAATGGCGAACGAGGGCCACGAGTGCAAAAGGCGCCGGAAGGGGGCCACGAGCCATAAATGGTTGGGAACCACTGGTGAAGAGTCATCCAACCAACTTCGACGTCATTCGTGTCCATATATTTGAGTATAACTCTCTTGTTTACAAGCTTATGCGCCTTGAAACGCACACACAAATGAAATAATAGTCACATTCCCTTAACGTAGTATATATATATACACAACAGTACTAGAGTAGTTGTAACTAAGATCTCACTTGTGTAATCCATAATGTATCAAACGTTGTTTGAATAACAAATGGTATGATTATAGAACCCAGTCTCGCACATGTGGAAGCGAGCGCCATGGCCTTGCCCCTGTAAAGTAAGCAAACAAAAAACGTTCTCACTATTTTGAATTACCATGAGCTTGCGATATGTCAACATATTGTTGAAAACGCTAACCAAAATGAACCAAGGTAGAATATTTATTATCATAGACCGCATCATGTTAATGACAGTTCACTCACTTACTTCAATACGGATATTAAATACTATCATACCTTGTGATGATTGGAAAAACGTCGTTCGTATATTGGTACGAAGCGAAGAAGGCAACAGTAGTAAAGAGTTTTCCAGCAATAGAAGCCCATCGTACAATTTGTAGTGCAGCTGTTAAAGTGAACATTATAAAAGCTAGCTGCTGTGCTTGGATGATGGACGGATTATAGGAAATTTTACGAGTTTCAAGTGACAGTTACGACACTTAATTTTATTTTAATCATAACATCATTTTTCCAGAAGTCACTTTCGTGGACCAACGCGAGGATCATTAAAAATAAATTGAAGAATGCAGAAGGCAGAAAAGCCCACAAAACGTGAAATTCATCGCTTTGAAAACACTATAATGAACTACTTAAAACTTCACCGTCATGATGAACATGGCTATTTATATTTGATTATCGGATTCTACTTCACTGTGAATTCCAATACTAACTTTCATTTGTGTCATCTATTTTCCCTGTAATCATTGCTGTAAAACATAATGAACTGGAACCAAACATTCCGACTATAAGACATTGTTTGGCTCCATATCTTCTGTTGACGATAGCGAAGACAAGTACCGCGATGATTTCAGTCGAACCATTCAGGGTTGCATTTAAGTAAGGATCCCCTGTAAAAGTAACATGGAACGAATAATATGTTTTGTTGAAACAGACCCGGTTTTAGAAAGCTGCTTTTATCAGGTGCAAAACTAAGTGATAACAAGTAATTTGTAGCCGCTGTTTGTTGAATATATTATAATCGAATACAAATAGTGACCGTATCATCACATACAGCACCAGTTATCACGGTCAGTACCTTTTGCAATCATTAAAAACAAAATTCAACAAAACTGGTAGCTGGCTAAACAAGTTTGATCAGGTACTATACAATTTTCAACACACCACTTTTCAAAGGTTCCTCAACAGCGAGGTGCTCTTTATGACCGGAGTTATCGAGAAAAGTGCTATTAACAGCTCGACATCTATTATGTTTGCAGAAAAAGGATGACCTGTGTTATTTTAATCTATGAACTTTCCGCAGAATAGATCATTCAAATTTTTGAAATATAAACTATTTGGGTGTCTGCATTATAGAAGACGTTAATTAATGTCTCGGATAGATCACAAGTTTCACATAACGTACATGTATGATTGTATGGTGTATAATGTGCATTCAGATAACTCACCCATAAGGGAACCGACGTTTAGAACAAGACCGTAGTAAACACAGTGGGCGACGAGCCAAATATACATTATAACAAGCGATACGATTCTTATGAATGGCCGGCGGAAGAGATCGGTCAGATGAGTTCTGGTGTTGACAAATTTCATCTTTTTCCTTTCTGTTTCGAGTATTATTTGCCAATCTTCGTCTTTTATAATTGTATCTTTACTTCTGGCATATCGGTTCAGTACCTTTCTTGCTTCTATTTCTCTTCCTTTCATAAGTAGCCATCTGAAGGTAATTGTGAACAGAAAAATATATTAATGGCACCGGAAGTGTAAAATGAAAGAGCGAAGGACATGGAAACAGAACATTCCAACGAAAATGAAAAATTTAGTTCATAATATAGAGCTAAACGACGAATGAATATGGCAGGTGGGATGCAGAAATTAGAAGACTTACCTTGTCGTTTCTGGTATGAATGGCCACGTGATAATAAACGGCAGTACCAAAAGACTACAGGTCAGATTCAAATCTCTCCAGTTACGTAAGGAGTATGCCATCATTGGAAATAAAGTGTCGATAATTGTAGTTACAAGAGGCGTGGTTGTGGAAACAGTAATTCTCAATTTTTGTCCCGCTATTTCATTTGCTGAAGAAAATTTCATTGAATAGCCAGAGGGGAAAATCAATCATAAGTACAATTATAACATCGAATCTTACCATAGGAAAACGCAGCGCCGTATAATGCCAATCCTGTGGCACCTTCCAGAAAACGAAATATGCAATAAACCTCGAACGTCGGAGCAAATGTGCAGCCTATTCCAGATACCATTAACCCAACAGAAAGAATGAGAAGAGATAGTCTACGTCCGAACCTTTTGAAAAAGGTTTCTTTCATTATTGACGACTTGAATATATATATATAGATATATAATTTAAATGATACTTCAGTCTCTCGAGTCTCAACTTTGAAGTATCGCCCACCTCCACAAAAATGATGATTAACGCCTTTGGCATTATTCAGGAATAGTGGTACTGGTACCTACAACTACGCACAAATGATTGCGCATGTCACTTGTCATAGTCCATATTGCAATATGCCCACTATAGAAGAGACCATTCAGGTAGCTATTGGGACCATATAAAACCATCCTTCATCAAGTCAACGACCAAGTCTCGCATGTGTGTATAACAGCGATGTATATAACTCACCAGTCAAAGATATATCCAGCTGGGGTAGATCCAACGAGTATTCCAACAAAATACAGTGATTGTAACACGGAATTTAAAACACGTCTGTCACAAACCAGGTCCCACTGAAAAAAAAAAATCGATCCTTAACAAGGACCATGTCCATGCTGGATATGCTATACTCGTTTAAAGAAGCCATGTATTTCAAAGGATTTGAAACTCCCGTATTGTAGGTATGCTGCTTTCAATGAGGTTATGTAGCTTTCAAAAAGGATATGCTACTCTTAAACGGCTATACTTGTTTTAAGAAGGATTATATGGTCTTTTTATGAGGACACTTGAGCAGATATATCCCAGAAAACAATCAAGAAATTTTCCAATGATCCAACCGAAACATTGATAGAGATTAGTAATTTGATAGCATTATTACCTCTGTCACAACTGTGTTATCGTAGTAACTCTTGTCGTAATAATAGCCCTTGTCGCATTTCATTATGCCATCACCAGATGCGTTAATTAGACATGATAAATTTCCAGATATCAGACATTCCGTTGAATTATAGATGTATCGATGGCAGGAATCATCTAACTTGAAAAATATTTTATAATCTCACTGCTTCATGCCGATAAGAAAGTTTACATATTTTAAGAGGTGTTTAAACTAGCTTCTGTGGTCAATTGGGAATACTCTGTTATTCTACGTAGCAGGAAGGACACAAATGGTGTAAAAAGTTGTAATTAGAAACATGCAAAATAAATGAGCATTGCTATAACCGGAACAATATATATATTATTTTTAGATAACTACAGTTTCAAGATTGTTGTAAAATAGTTGCATTCGGAGTATTTCATTCACACGACAAAAAAAATTAATCATTCCAATATTAATGGAATCACGCAAAGCAACCAAGCACTTCCGTTCGGCAAAAGTTACCAAAATTGTTTCTACTCACAGGAATAGCCAAGGATTTTATCTCATCTTCACTCGCATTTTTAAAAAGAGTCTCGTCTTCAAACTCAGGTAACGAACATCTGTTGGGGAAGAAATTAGATAAAATTATTAAGTAGAGATCGAATGAATGTTTTCCGGAAATGATTCACTTGTGATAGATTGATAATATAATTCACGATTAGAACTATTTCATTCATCGAATAACTACGTTTCATTCATATACTTCATTGAAAGTAGCCTACATCAAGAATATTTGCTAATTAAATGGAAGTTTTAATTGTTGACATTTCATTTTTAATGGCAATTAGCAAATTGATCGTGTCAGAAAGCCCGAGCATTTATGGTTTCAATTAATCAGTATTGCAATGTCGGCTCTTTCGTAATATAGCAAATCGATGCTGTTTTTTAATGAGACTAATGAGGTTGTTACAAGCATAGATTTTGCTGTGTTCAGTATACCATAGATTTTTTATCTATCTTGTTGGACACGAAGTGGACCTATGGATCATTTTTGTTATTACGTTGTTGTTGTTTTTATTGGATACATAGTGGACCTATGGATCGTTTTGTTACTATATTGTTGTTCCTGTTATTTTTTTCTTATCGTTATAAAAAAAAATCGCTTTCCTCTTCAACTACTGGACTAATTGCTTTGAAATTTTCAGTATTTGAAGATTGATTTTTTTCGCTAGAGGGCTATCATTTTTATTCATTTCAAATATTCCTGTGAGCTCATGGGATCCGTATTTTGTTTGCAATGACGCCATCAAAATATGCCACTTTGTGGCGGTTCCGCGAACGCATATTAGCTGATCTTTTGCTCAGCGAACGTCCGTTTATCCCGTGCTAAGCGAAAGTGGGGACTAGGGATGGGAAGTTTTTATGGGGAACGGTAGACTGCGGTACCTGTAACTCGGATCACTTAGTATTTCAATTTACGTTGAAACTGAATTATGAAGAATGGATCATCGTCACGGGATCTGGAAAAGCTATGACAGATCTGCACCGTACGGTACCCGATACAGGTACTGACTGGTAAGTCACCGCATATGATTTTTGAAGTTTTTTTTATAAGGAATGGTAAACTGCGGTACCTGACCTGGTAATACAGAAGTGACTCGGATCAGTTAGTATTACAATTCGCGTTGAAATTAGGAAGAATGGATCGTCGTCACGGGACCTGAAAAAGCTATGACAGTCTCTGTACCGTCACGGTACCCAGATACTGGTAAGTTACCGCATATGATTTCCGGGGACTTGGTGATAAAATATTTGGTTTTGCCATCCTGTTTTTAACATATATGAGCAGAGCTCTCATGTTTCAGTTGTTTTCTGTGTTTGTGTGACGCCTTCCGATGACGTTATTCTCACGCCACTGACTACACTGCACAATACTTTCTGTATCATCGTACTGTATTCCTTTTGCCAAATGTGAGTCGGCTGCATGCCTGTAGAATTTGTCTACCAATTAACTTACTGTAGAAATTTTATCTTACTGAAAGTTTTGTGAAAACTATGACTTGTTTATATACTTTCATCAAAACATTACATGTGTTTTTGTGTGGATTAGTTACTAAATTTCGATTGGCAACATCGCCCAACAACATGATTATAATTAAATTCAAATTATTTTTTCTCTCGTGCAAGTTGTCATTAAATACCAAAAATTCTATGCCGATCTTGGGATGTAGCCTAAATCCCTAGCAATAAACTGAAGAATTTTCCCAGATCCTCGCGTTTTCTTAATCAAGGAAGGTAACAGAATAACTTTCAAGCTTCTCCAAAATGTTATCAAAACAGTATAACGTAAACCTCACCTGTGCTTTGGTATAGCATTGTAGAACACACCCGATTGTGGAGTGATAGCTGAAATTGCAGCTGACAATGTGACCGAAATTATTGAAAGAATCTGCACGTTATTCACACTCAATCTGCTTTCAATTTTATCTAAATCCATTTTTTCCAACAGTATTGATAATATAGAAGTACTTTTAACCAGATTACCAGGTATCTTATAACGTTATGAAGCTTTTTCTCGCGTTTTAAATAGCAGCATGCCCGTGTTTGCGTCGCGCTGTCTGCAGAGATTTTCGAGAAACAATGACATATTCTAACGCAGGGATGTGCAAAGTGCGGCCCGCGGGCCAAATGCGGCCCGCAAGGGGAAAATATGCGGCCCGCGGAGAAGTACCAATTTTGAATAGTGTTGCGGTCAGCGAAACGAGTTTTCAGTTTAGTTCAGCGCTTCTCAACCGGTGGTCTGCGGCCCACTGGTGGGCCGCCAACAATGTTCCCTCTAATTTTTTGTAGTATGTGTGCGGAGAAATTTTGGTGTGTGCGCACTTTTTGGGAAATAACTTATATTTGTGCAAAAACCAATGAAAAATTTTGGCGTTCTAACCGGGTAATAAGTGGCCAACAACAAACTTGCCAACCTGCCAACCGAGCACATTGTTACATTACATCGAAATACGTCTGTGCGCAGTAAATCTATGCGTGCGCGCAGCCTCTGAAAGCTGTGTGCGCGCGCACACCTTAGAGGGAACACAGGGGCCGCCAAGCATCTCATGGTGGGCCGTGAACTCAAATTATTCGTATTTTTCTATATTTTTTTTATAGTTAGAACTATTTATATACGTTCAAATTATATTGGATGTCGTAAAAATTACGGCTTTACATAATTTCACTTTTTCAACGTAATGAAAATGAGTCCGTAAATAAGAAGCCTTGCGAGGTAATGGCGCAATTCCCAGCACTTAGTCGTGCAAATTTGTAGCATTAAGAAAATTTCTGATTTTCTATGTAAAAAATTTAAGATCTGAAAATGCACGCTCAGACTCAACTGACGTAGGTTCGGTTTTTTTAGTGTTGCATACATTTTCCCCGTGTTTCTGGCCTCTCCCTGCTTGTCTCATATAGCAGTATTTCCTTCTCAACCATCGCCATTCGACTTCCATAAGCACAACTTTGTCACTCTTCGAAATTTTGATCAATCAATTTTCGGCGGAGGGGAATTCTTTCCAGCGCGTGATCTCCGACCTGGAAGAGCTGAATCCCTGGATTCTATTCAAAATAATCTTCTTATCAGGATTGAAAAACACTTTTTTATTACAATACGTGAGAAATCGCAGAAAATTGTTTAAAGATTTTAATCGAAAACGAAACGCCTAGCTGATGCCGAAAAGTGGATATCATTCGGAAATATTCGAAAATTCGCCGAAAAAGTATTATAATACTTTGATATTCGAATATTCGATTCGTTTTGAAAAACCTCGCTTTGACTTATTTTAACTCTGAAAAAATGATAATGAAAGTGGTCCGCGAAGTAATACTCTCGATGAAAGTGGGCCACGATATAAAAAAATGTTGAGAAGAACTGGTTTAATTTAATCGGGTTCCTTTTGCGTTGCAAAGCTTATATCCGAGTCCAATTTATTATCTATACCAAGGGTGGGCAAACCCAGGCTTGCAAGCCACATGCGGCTCGTCGGAGTTTTTATGCGGCTCTTTTCGCTAGCAATATTTATATATTATCCAAGTTTAACTACGAGAAACTGTAGCGTAACAGTTTTTTTTAAATTCATTAAGCGGTTGAAACAGTTTTCATCAATGATTAAGACAAATTATGTTTTAGTATGAAAATCGTAGCATGGAATTTAATTTAAATCAGTTAAACGACAAGTCTTACATCCCGAGGGTCAAATGTTTGTTGCTGCGTTGGGGCTTTCAACTACTTCTGATATGGCCTCGCAATATATACTTTGCAATATTGATATTATATGTTGGTATAAAGTTCTTTTCAGTTCACAGCATTCTAATATTATTAATTTCAAAAATTATGCGGCTGTCACATATTTCAGACTTGCTTCATGCGGCTCTTATACTAAAAATGTTGCCAACCCCTAATCTATGCCTACATCAGTACAATGTCCTAACAGCGAAGCGAGCAACGCGGTTCACAAAGCTGTCACTTGCTGATCAGCGAGCAATTTGAATTCGGCGTGACAATAAATTTGACTTTGAGTAACATTTTCCAGAAATTTATGCGTTTTAACTCATCATTTCTGCTAGGACCCTTAATAATGCCATAAGATCAATAACAAAAAGACACTATTTTGTGCCTGCAACTAACAGAAGAAAGCATATGGTAAATGAAAGTGCGGCCCGCTGTTTTACCCAGTTGTTGATATCTGACCCGCCTGCGAAAAAGGTTGCACACCCCTGCTCTAACGCAATTGAGAATACATACAACTTAGCTCCTCAAATGCAAAAAATGAATGATTTTAAACAGCTTCATGTACAGCGTGACACGTTGCTATCACGAAGTTTCCTTATCGGAAGTTTTGCAACGCTACGTGCTTAGCAGATACGTTTTTGTTTTTATAATCCATGAATGATGTTACATTTCGCGTAAACTGTCGGTTACGTCAGAAAACAGTACAGTTATAAGAAATTTATAGGAACGCTTCAAAAAATTTCTTCAACCATAGTTTAACCATAGATACTCAAAACTTCCACAAAACCTAAAATAAAATAACGTATGTAACGTAGCGAGGTTTTTAGGCGATAGCGTTCGACGGTAATATACCGTGTAAAAAAAGACCGTCTTTTTCCTCGCTAAACGACAATTTATTTGACTTTTGAAAACTGGCCAATACTCGACTATTCTATTTCCCTAGTACACAGGTTCACAAGATAAGCAGTCAGAACTATTATTGCTCTTTTGTTTTCAACGCTCGGATACGAATGAGGAAATCAAAGCCAGAAAAAAAAAACAGTGTGCGCGAAGCAACAGACACTGGCTTAAAAAGGACAAGCAATTAAAAACACACTGCAACACAACAAACGGGCAGGTTTAATAGCTTACAGCTTCTCAGAATGAGGGCGTTATTACTTGAGCTTGGGATAATGCAATAGTTGAAAAAAAATATCGAAATACATTAAGCACTGAAATGTGATAATTACAAAATTCACACAATAGATAACGATTACACTGAGAATTCAATAGCAATGTAATATTAAAAATTAAACGTGAGATTACAATAAATTCACACACACAATAATATGAAGACACGGAAATAACTTCTAAACACGAGTTTCCGAAACATGGGGTTTGGTATATTATATTTGTGAGGTAATTAGAATATCTGGTCACGACAAACCAAAAATTCACGTCCTGTAAAAAGGGTTTTAGTCTATTAAGATGAACTCGAATACTGGTCTGAGATTTCCTAAGATTTTCATCAACGAGTTTAATCAGAAAATTCTGATTTTCCAAAACTTTAATAATCTTGTAAGGGCCATTCCATAAATACGCAATCTTAGTAGTCTCGCCAATAGGTACAGAAGGAGTATAAAGCATCATTATTCCATTTACGTGAGAATCGTTGGAAATAGCCGTTTTATTATACTGCTTTTCCATTAATTTACGGGATTTGTCAAGACGCTTTCGCACCAATGAAGCAACGTCATCTTTTCTAGACATAATACCTAATGCACTATCAATTTCACAAGAAAAAGTCCGTGAAAATTGTCGGCTGCTGAATCTACCAGGTTAAAAGGAGTATAAGTAAGCATAACATGCTTAGGGTAAAACAGGTCCCAATCTATTTTTTAGAAACCGTCAAATGTGACAAAATCTTTAACAACGTTCTTTGACATCTCTCTGTACCTCCGTTACCCATTGGATGGAAAAAAGTTTTCTTAATGCCATACTCTCTACACATGTCTTTAAAATAAAACTTTCAAAATTTGAACCTGAATCATAATGCAAAGTTTTCGGAGGGCTTTGATTACAAATCCACTCAGATACAAATAAAGGTGTTATCGTACTAGTTCTTTGGTCGGGAATTGCTATAGACAATGTAAAAAGCTACTAAAGTTGTCAATCATAGTTAAAGTATATTTATTGCCGGAATTGCTCTTTGATATCGTGATAACATCACAACTTATCCGCTAGTTAATGCCACTCAAAACTGTTGGAATCAGGTGTTTATCACGAGCGGGGACTGGATTTTTTCTGCGCTGACTGTTGAAACAAGACTTTATATTTACATATTCATATATTGAATGCCAATAATGGAATTGCATTGCTCGCAAATGAGTTTTCCTAACACCCAAATGTCCTGAAGTATCGGGAACATGATGAAGTACTAGAGGATAAAAACTTTAGGAACCACGATTCTGTAAGAATATTTTCCAAGTTTTGAGTCTTCAAAACGTCTATACAATACGTCATCAATGATTTTCAAATCATCAAATTCAGACCACGAGGTTTTCAAATCTGGAGAAGAATTCTCAATCTCCTGCATTCCGGGTCTTGATTTATTTTTCATGCAGCAAAATACAACAGAAATATCTGAATATGCTGTCTCATCAAATAATGATTTTCGTGAACTTCAGTTTGGGGAATTCTAGACAAGGCATCACCATTGCCATGCAATTTACCTGGTCTAATAATTACTGTAAGAAACATTCCCTCATTTTAATTATGGGCACTAGATTGTGTTCTCATGTGTGATCATTGCGTGACGCGCAATCAATTCTGCAACACGATAACTAGCTTCTAATGCTTTTTCGGAGACTGTAAAAGGCGACTTCACAGAGCACTCTTGCTTCTGATTTTGACTTAACAACCGCTGGAAATAATTTATATTCTTGTGTGCACAAACGTCATGTTTCGTATTTAAGTGGCGCATAAGTTTACTCGGAAACATTGCTTCATTTGAAAGTTGCTCCCCCCAAATAACCCAGACTGGTTTTGGAGCATTTCCGTTACCACAGCAAGAAAATTCATATTTGACGTAATCTTTCCTGTATTTTCTTTTGACAAGTTTTTTTTTCAACGTTGCTTGTGCTAGGTACAATATGTTGCTCAGTTTAAAAATTTATCCATTTTGCTAAACTTCAACAATCTTTGACTTTTTTAATCACTGGGCACTGATTCTGCAAACTCACACTTTATTTATATTCGATTACTACACGTGCTATGTGTCAGGAATTTAAATTGGTGTGGCTCAAGCTAACGTAAAAGCAGGTTAACTTTACGTTAGTAGAGTAGAGTGGTTGACTAACGCAAAAATAACAAAAGATAACCGCAAAAACAAAAAGTCTTCCGCAATATCTATTCTTTGCTGTCATGCCAATCTTGTGATAACCATTTAATTTATAAGCGCGTTAGATTCATATTTGGTCAAATTAACTGATTTCTCATGCAAAATTTGATTCTAATAATTAATTTCATGTATTATCCCATTTTTTATAACACCACACGAGTCCCAACACTTTTCATTGAGCTGTCTATTCCGACCAATAATGTGGCATCCGTAAGTTCTCCCGCAGGTAGCTCTCTTCTTTTTGTGTTTTAGTAAGCACATCTCTGTCATTAAGCTCTAGAATTTGTAAGTTCTAGTTTTCATGTTGTTTTTATTTATTCAGCTGATATTTGAGTTATAGTCATACAAATAGATTAAATTGTGTGCAACTGCCGGAATAAACCGACTCACTGATGCCCATTACTACTGCGATACTGTAATAAAGTCGAAGATACAAATGTTGGATGGGATCGGACTTTTCAAGTATTTCTGGTGTTACCCGCACATTGAATTTTTCCATATCATAGTTAGGTGATAGCACCAGTTATTATCTTCAATTACACCAATTAGATTTATGATCGACGTATAAATACTACTCCGATATCTTTTGATATAGAGACGATGTAAACCATTCTAAGCTAGTCTGGATAAATGTTATAAGATTTATATTCTGTGTATCGTGGAAATCTGAGAATAAAATCAAACAGAGTTTTCTAAAGTTTCCTCATTCACGTGGGCGTTGAAGGGTGAACACGTGACTTGCAAGTCAGAGACAATCTACAAATTAGCAATATACGGTAACATCACATTCATTTACTAATCATATATGCTATATGGTAAATTTCTTTCCAAGTAAGTTCGAAAATGTTGAACTAAGTATACAATATCATACAGTTCTTGCTTGGTTTCTTTTTCTGAGCCCAGAATGCAACGGCTTCTGAGCACCATGCAACGGCTTCTGACTCTGAGGGGTGCCGCGTTTGCGTATTCGTTAAAGTAGGCCATAATGACTTTTCTTGTGGCGTAATATTCGATCCTCGACAAATACGGGAATCGAACTGTCTTTCAATTTTAATCCAATTGTGCTCAACGTAACTCGCGATTGCGTCCACGAAATAAAATCATTATTCATCTAAAATAACACGGCAACCTGCGGACATAATAATGTGAGATAAACTGCCTGATTATATTAAGTTTTGATACATATTTTGCGGTCTTGCGAATTCGTTATCGCTGTTATAAAAATTTCAAGATCTGCTATAAAATCCAGGAAAGTAGGCTACAATTTAATTGAGGACAATCAATATTCATAATAAGTGATAAATCTAATCTGCGATTGCGACAATATACAAATAGTATCACTGCTCCAAAATACCAAGGCAATCGGTGGACATAAACATGTACGATTATATGTTGTTTTGATTCTTATTTTTGCAAATTAAAAACATATCTGAGCTGTTGCTGTAACACTTATTCCACACCATCGCAATGCTGCCACTCATTGTTTTGAGGATATTACCGTAAAAAAAACATTAAGTCCGCGGTAATATCTCACAGAGTAAATTTATTTCAAAAAATGAATCAAATATACTTTACATTAATTATTATACATATATCCTAGTCGTATCAGCTAATTTTAAGAGCTAAATCTGATTAATTTATGTTTTGAAACTACTTACATTTTGCACAATATTTTCATTGATACATGTACCAGCGGATGTATGAACAGGGGCCAACGGAGAATGCAAAACAAGATATCACAATAATCATGAAATAATTTCGAATTCACAAAGATGAGATTGCCGATGTGGTTCATTAATTAATTTAGTTTTACTGCTTCGATAAATCATCATATAAAAATTACAATTTTGTGACATGATTAGTAAAAATAGTGTTGTTATTATTTGTTTCCACGTCCAAATATTCAATTTGTACTTTTCTCTCGTCTGCGTTTTCGTTCGTTGTTCTGTAATTACACGGAAATTAATTTAAATTATTCAATATCAATAATATTACAACATTTCATAGATATGACCAAATTTTACCTTTTATATTTTATAAACTTAGCCATCCACTTCATGTTAACACGGTAACCTTTTTCCGCTTCTTGCAGAGTCGTAGTGGCAACTTTTGACGAGGTTTGTGGCATGATGAGAGTTGCCAGACCAGCACTGAGGCCAAGGAACCCTAATATAGCCTTGTAAAAATATTGAAAGAAAAAATGTTAAACGGCGTGGTGAGTATCAATGCAACACATTGTATTAAAGGTTTTATACTCAATCAAAATGCAGACTTACTTGAGTGACACATATGGAGTCAGACTGAACTTCAAGAATAAACGGAATAATTATAGATCCGACCCTTGCGAACGAGGACGCAAGTGCCATTGCTTTGCCTCTGTAAGCAGACATAGATAAAAGGGACATTTTAAATTATCGTATATCAATCGCAACTAATGCAAATTATCCTTCGGAAACTATGGAAAATAAAAAATACCTTGTGATAACCGGAAAAACATCATTCGTGTATTGATATGTAGAGTAGAAAGAAACAGTCGCAAATAATTTCCCTGTGATTGATACCCATCTCACCACTTGTAGGGCAGCTATGACAAAAAATTATATCTGCTGTAAAATTCACTGCATTTAATTTAGGGCATAAATAGTAAAGGCAATTCTTACTTTCACTTGTACTGTCTATTTCCCCCGCAATCATTGCTACAAGGCAGAGCGATCCCGAACACAGCATCCCGAGAATAATACAGACTTTTGCCCCATATTTCTTATTTACTGCTCCATACACAATTACTGCAATAATTTCTGTTGCTCCATTCAGAACGCCGTTTACATACGGGTCACCTGTAGAGTGGAACAAGTGAAATTTATTTGGTAAATCCTAACAAAGCAATTCATAAAATACTATTCTCAATCTAAGCGATCGTCGTCGAGCGAGGACTGTGTTTAGTTAGTTGTTATTCCCACTCCAAAATCTGTAGTAATTGACAGCTGAAAATGGATTTCAACCTGAATTCAGCACATAGTTTATGTTTAGCGTGAAAACGCATACAATTCTAGCAGAATATTATGTCTTTGTGGCGGAGTTTAAAATAATTGTCTTGTTTGAGCTAAAACAGCGTTGTTGCCATTTTCGGTATCACGTTAACTTTGATAAATAAATGTATAAACTAACCTGAAAGAGAACCTGCGTTCAGTACCAGACCGTAGAATACACAGTTGACTGCAAACCAATCAAACAACACAACCAGCGATACAATTCTTGTGAAAGGTCGACGGAAAAGATCGGTCAGATGAGATCTTGTACTGATAGATTCCTATAATTTGATAATAGTATATCCTTGAAGATTTTGACTCAAATTTTATTAATTGCGAAAGAATCACCATTTTTTTCTTTTCTGTATCGAGAACTATTTGCCAGTCGTCTTCGTTCAATGTTTTTCCTCTGCTTTTTGCATACCGATTCAATACTTTTCTTGCTTCTTCTTCTTTTCCTTTCATAAGTAGCCACCTGAGGACAATACGGTATTCCTGTAAATAAGACTGATGAGGAAGAAATTGTTCAAAAGCGAGGAAGGAAAATTAAGGGGGCAATATTTATATGAAGGACGAACAATTGTTAAGACGAATAAAGAAAATGGAATCAGTGAACGAAAAAATGAAAATGCAGCCTAACTCTTACTTTGGAGTTTCAGGAATAAACGGCCAAGTAATAATGAAAGCTAGTGGTAGTAGAGCACTTGCTAGATTCAAATCCCTCCAATCCCGTAAAACATACGCCATGGCTGGTAATATGGTGTGAGAAATTGATGTAGTGAACATTATAATTGTGCCAACGGTGGACCTGAGGTTTCGACCAGCTACTTCATTTGCTGAAAGATATGTTATTTAAATGTTGTTCAAGATTCTGTTTTATTATAAGTTAAAAAAAATCATCTATATCAGACATGGGCAAACTACGGTCCGCGGGCCAAATCCGGCCCGTTGGGTAATTCAATCTGGCCCGCCTGATACTGCCACAACCAAAATGAAACCAAAATTTGATGTTTTAGCTAATATTAACTCATGGAATTTGTTGAGATTGGGGTTGAATTTAGTTTTGGCACGAGGCATATTGTTTTCCACTGTTGCTTTTGTAACACTGTAAATATTGTTCATAAAATGTAACTTTTTACGTCACACTTACATGGCCCGCCAGTCTAGGTAGAAAAAATTTTTTGGCCCCTGGTTCAAAATCCTTGCCCATCCCTGATCTACCGTATATACTATTTTGTTTTGTAAGACAAACATAGCAATACCTTGCCAGAGTCTTGAGTTAATGATATTGATCTTGTAAATTCGCCAAATTGTTACATCTAAAAATAATCAGTAGAAAACTCTTACCGTAAGAGAAAATAGCGCCGGCCAGTGGAACACACGTAGAACCTTCAATAAAGCGAAAAACACAATAGACTGCAAATGTAGGAGCATACGTACATCCTAATCCGGATGCCATTAATCCAACAGAAAGAACAAGGAGGGCAGTTTTCCTCCCGAACCTTTGAAGAAGACACCGTAAACTTAATCCCGAATAATACATTATAATATCGGCGCTCCGGAGGTATTCGTACAAAGATGACTCACAACCTGAACAACCCTAACCTGGTACACATACTATGTTCAGGTTGTGCGTCATCTTGGTACGAATACTTCGGGAGCACCTTAATATTTAATCGGTTCATGATGAGCCGTTAAAACTTCTATTAAAATTTCTGAAGTTTAGCTGAGACGTTGCGAACAATAAATAGTTTGGGTAGAGAATATCTCATAAAATTTTACCAACATGAACTGTAAATAGTGGACGCATTTAGTGCTAACTACATAGAATGTGGATTCTCTGTTATAAGTCATCCACGTGACTCAACATCATAAGCTACCTTCTATCATGTGTTTTGATCCAATCAACTTATATTATCAGTTTAAAAAAACGTAACCATTGAATTTGCCGTAGTTCGTATTATCATGTGTTGATTACGATTATTTATACTTGTTTGATATTTGAGCATTTTTATTTACCAATCAACGACATATCCAGCTGGAGGAGATCCAAAAAATATTCCAACGAACAAAAGTGAAGTAACAAAAGAATTTAATAGACTCCTGTCACACAACAGGTTCCACTGCAAAAGAAGATAAAATTCAATCATCTTTTAGTATATTGTAGCTGGAGCAAAAATGCACTTTCACAATCGGGGATATATCACAATCAGCCGTTATCAGCCCCTGAATTTCATGATTTCTCTTCGTGGTTTCGAGTTTCTGCTATTCTATTTCTACTTATATTTGCCAAATCAGACTTTTTGTACTGCTCGCATGTCAATAGTTAAGTATACAAGCCACAATTACATCGTTAAAAAAGTCACCTCAGTAGCGACCGTTTCTTCGAAGTAACTGTCGTCATAATAAAATCCATTATCGCATCTCACTATTCCATTTGCTGATGCGTTAGTTAAACAGGACAAGTTTCCTGATATCAAACAATCCGTAGAGTTGTGGATGTATCGATGACAAGAATCTCCCGGCTGAAACAAAAGGTTTTCAATTTATTTAAAGATGAGTTGATATTGAAGTCTGATCCAACGTAGGAATAAGCGTTTGACTTTTCAATAACATACTCACAGGAATAGCCAGCGATGTGAAGTTCTCTTCACTCTTGTTTCCGCAAGTAGTATTGTCTTCAAAATATGGCAACCTACATCTGTGTTGAAAAGCACAATCAATTAAACCCGAGTGTAACGACAGATATCAACTTACGCGGAAACGGAACCGCCACGAGGTGCGCAATTTTTAATATTGATAACGCCTTCGCTTACGAAAAACGAATCCCATAGACTCATAGAGGACACAGATATTTTTGAATTACATAAAATAGCAAAAAATACAATCTTTAACCGCAAAACATTTAAAAGCAATTGGTCCGGTAGTTGAAGAGAAAAGCGATTTTTTTCATAGCAATAAGGAAAATACAAACAACAATAACAACAACATTTTAACAACACGACCCATAGGTCCACTTCTTGTCCAGAATATGTCAAAATAAAAGCAGAAGTGAAGCCTGACTAGTTTCCTACTATTCCATCGCCACACATCGTTATATAAGCACTGTACTTAGATATCAGTACCACAGAGATAAAGACGATTGTAGTAGGTAGGTGCAATAAACACATCTGTATGTAGTCAAATTACCTGTGATCCGGCACGGCATTATAATACACTGATGTGAATGGTGTCCATGAACCAGCGAATATCGCAAAAATACACGAAACAATTATGAATATTTTGTAGAAACTGAAAGTACCAAGCTGCTCTTCAAATTCGTCCAAATCCATTTGCTTATTGTCCTAACTTATTCCACAAATTCTTTATATCTTTCAACAGCGCACATTTTCATTTAACAATCAACGACTAAACAGCTGGAATAATCGGAATCGTGTGCATCCTCATATTCTACTATTTGTATGTTTTGTTTTGATCAGAGATAAATTACGCGCAGCTCAGAAATAGGCAACCAAATATATCAACTACGCAATATTGTTAGCAAAACGATTTATCACGGATTGAGCTCTGTATATTTTTAAAAATAAAATGATTGTTCGAGGCGACTGACTAGAAGCGCAGGCTGAAAAAACCATTGATGACAAATCAGAATATAAAGAATCAAAATTTCTGGAGAACAAAACTGGATTGACGAAGCATTCAATACCAAGATTTATTTCTGACTCAATTCACTAACTGAGCAACACGCTGTGCTGTAAAAAGTTATATTACACGAGGTCTACGAAACCATCCTGTTACCGAGCGGAGTTCCATATAATTTCTCAACTACGATGAAATTTTCACGAGAATGACGAAGCATATTTTATATAATGAATAATGTTTACTAGATTCGTACGTGGTTTTAAAACATCCAGAACGGTTTTGTTCATATTCATAGTAAAACGATAACTGCATAGCAAAATTGACTTTACACGCACTGTAAAAATTTTAACGTTCTTTGCACGAACGCAGTTGCCTTTACTTTACAGCATTTAAATGCGATAATCTTTGATGTGGAAGTTTCCCGATTTGAAACTACGAATTCAAGAGTGTGTAGCACTGATATTGGGTCTTTGTGGTGCATTTTTATTTTGTAAAAAATTGTGAAATATAGAATAATAAAATGAACATTTCCATATCGTATAACCATCTGTAGTTGGCCTGAGTTTAGTCATGCAATGTCTATTTGAACCATTCATCAGGTAAAAATGCTCATTGGATTTCTTATTATTAAAGTTGATAATCATTGAGTATTAGTGCAATTTATACAACGTAACTTGAATAACTCTTCATAAAGCCCATGTAATTTTTCCCTTGTGTGTATAGCATTAAACACATATGACTCGTGGCTCGCCTTTCAACGGTTATATGTAATTGCAGCCACTGTGGGGAGGTGAACGGAGGGGTAAAACCTAAGATCTTTAATACGTGACTTGAACATAGTGAAGTCCATGGTTCTGATTATTTGTTCGTCAATCGTCATATATATGCTTGTTCATATTTTCATAACAGTACTATACAATTTAAATGATTCTAATTTTATGACATATATATTCGGGATCTCAATTAGGACGAAGTGCCAATTCATTCATGCAGTTATTTGATTGGGCTTTATTAGTTTATTTGAAGTTAAGTTGTGATCGTTTTTCAATAGATTAAGTCGTCACATTGATTCTCCTTTTCCTGGGACCAGTGTGAGAATATATACTAACTTCAACGGTGTATCTTAAAAGTGCTCGCCGCCATAGGGTGGTTCACGTGCCTTGGTCGGTTACGGCTTCCTCTATCATCAAATCCACACATCTGAAATGAATAACTGGCTGACTAGTCCCATGGCCGACATGGGCCAGCAACCAGACAAGAAGCCGTAGTTTGCCATATATCGCTGACAAATGTCAACAGTAATATTAGGCCAAAAAGTACACTCTCAGCTTGAAGGCTTCTCAACTGAATCTAAAGTCAAATATTATCTATGTAATGTTCGTGGGGCTAGTAAACTTACCGACGCCTTTCTCCTCTCTACCAAAATATTATATCCGTGTGAATGCTGTAAACAGAAATGGATGGTTCATACTATTTTGTATATGTGTATGAATTCGTGATAGAAAGATATTTTGCAGTTGGAAACCACATATTGTCAGTTATCCAATAATGTTTTTGCAAAATCTTAAAATATTTTACAGATTAAGGCTCATTTTGAAATCTAAAACCCTTAAATAAGTATATTTTAGTTTATTTCACTCGCGTCTACAATATGGTCTACTTGGTTTCGGGCATTATATATACGTTTTGGGTTGGGGTTCAGCAACAAGGTCTTCCTTTCAGTCAATTTAAGTTCTGCGGAATAAAGTTTTAAGGTGCATGACATTTGCAGAGAAAAGTTTTAACTAATTTGCAGCTTTGTCACCAGTATGATCTCCTACGACCTACAGCTTTCAGATATGCGCGCACTATAAATTGCAAAGTTTATGCATCGGTATGAAAATTGCCTTATTCTCCCAGTCTTTATACATTATTTCACCCCATTACAAAAAGTGCATAATTACTGCACCAGATTTCAAATAAACAGGAATTATATTACTCCACAAGTGTCCACTGAGGTGGACAAAACATCTTTGAAGTATGAAATCAAAAAAAGTTCAGTGCATGTTTTCAATAAGGAACTGAAAAAGTCTTTCTTACTTAAATGCTCGAATTTGTCTTAATATCTTGATTAATAATTATCTCGATTAAAAATCCTAAGTTTAATATCTTTTAAACTTTGTTTAAAGTAAATGAGCCAAACACTGTATATAATATCATAAATTTGACTGTTTCACATTTAGACTGTGTATTGAAGATCATTGGCCTCTTTCAATTGCATTTTTTGTAAAATCATACTAAAATGTTTTCTCTTTTTTGACACAAACTACTACTATGTACTTTATTATAGTTCACTTTAAAAAACCATTGTTAATGATACTTGGTAGGCCGGTAGTTTAAATAACACGTCAGCATGCCTTCAGTAAATGATTGTTAGCTCTACAGGTATAAATGCGTAAAACCAGTAAACAAACGTGATAGAAATGGTATGGGTTATAGATTGTCAATGTTGAACGCTTCCAGTACCGGTACCATACCCAAAGCGACATTAGCGCCGCATTTGCAGCGCATATCTCACAGAGCACGGCGCGTTGGCAGAATCTCATGGTCTAGTGAAAATGACGTCATCGAAAACACCGCGCTCATTAAAATTTCAATGAACGATTATCAAAAATCTTGACCATGTTTATCATGATAAAAATATCAAAAACGATGTAAAATATATTCTATCCTCAAAACTGCTCACGTATACAATGTAAGATATCTAGAAAATTACAAAAAATGCAAATTTCTGCTCTGGTGATCACATTCCCCATAATGACTAATGTTAAAATTATTTTTTTTGCATCACTTTTCTTTTTGCGCGTAGGATGGGTTTTTAATGAATAAGGTCTATTGCTAAATTACATTTTGTGTTGCTTCAAATGTATTATAGTGTTGACATTGTTTGCGATAATAAATCTCTCTCTCGTTTTATGATCTTGGTAATTTTTTTTTTGGTATTAGCTGGTGAGCGGGCACATGCTATTTGTCATGTTTTAAACTTTTCTAAAGATTTTTTTGTCCAGAATTCTCCATTTTTGATTTTGTGAGTATTATGGAGTTTTCAGAATGAACTATCTGACTATCTATAATTACATGGTTCGGCTTCCCTCTCCCCCGTGATAAATATGTAACGTTTCCTCCACCCCTGAAAGATTCTCCCTATACTTTATCATTGCAAAATTTTCAACGCTGATTTTGAGAGTGTTTTGAAGAGTTGGCGCTTACAAACTGGCTCGTATGTGCAAAGCTGTCATTTTTATTCAAAACAATAAACCACATGCGCTTATAGGTAGTGATAGCTAATTTTATGCTAGTCTATCACAGCGTTTGCGCTATCAAATTTTGATTATTGTAACTAAACTTAAGGTCTTCAGAAGACATAATGACAATTAAGTTATTTGATTTACAACTATATTTTTGAAACACAGCTAAAAACTGAAAAATAGCACGCAGAACCACCAAGAATAGGTAATGTTTGGAACCACGCTTTAATGTATATCTGAACGGAAGAATTGTATGGGCGGCGGCATAAATTCCATTTGTTACGTCGTTGGTAACTTATCGCTGATTTGTAATAGTTACGGAGATAAACAAGGAAATTTATGCTTTGGGAATGATTCATCCCGGTATGTTAGTCGTTGATTCACCCCGTTGTTTTGAAATTATACTTCCTCCGCCAGTGGGCAATATAGAAACACAAATCGAAAGAAAAAAATGAGCAAAATCGAGCATTTTCCAGTTCGCTCGTCTGTTGTTCCGCTGTGCAGTCTATGCTTATGTTTGTTGTGTTAGTCGAGCGTCAGGTTTAACGGAACTGTAGCTATTTTGATGTTAAACGGATTTTTCATTCGCCTTAAACATGGGTAAAACGAAAAAAGCTAAGAAGAACAAGGTAGATAAGGTTAAAGAAGATCGTGATCCAGATTACTTCGATGAGGAATACGACGATTTTGACGACGGCGTGGGAAACGAGGATATTGCGGCTGTCCCTAATGCAGCCAAAAAGCACATTGATTCCGAGTCTTCCACCACAGTTGGCATTGAAGACAAATTTGGTGCTAAGGATTATAGAAGCCAAATGAGAATGAAAACTGACCATGCATCTCGACCTATTTATGTTGCCCCTGATGGACATATATTTTTGGAGTCATTTTCTCCAGTTTATAAACATGCTAGAGATTTTCTTATTGCAATTTCAGAGCCGATCAGCAGACCAAAATACATTCATGAGTTCCGTTTAACACCGTATTCTTTGTATGCAGCAGTAAGTGTTGGATTAGAGACTGACGATATCATTGAATACCTCAGCAGATTAAGTAAAACAACAATTCCAACGGGCATTGTTGATTTTATAAAACTTTGCACAGTCAGCTATGGCAAGGTTAAACTTGTGCTCAAACACAATCGGTACTTTGTTGAAAGTACGCATGCTGAAGTTATACAAAAATTACTAAAAGATTCGGTTATTGAAACTTGCCGAAAAAGGGATTCTGGCGATCCAGAAGTTTCTACTTTTGTTGGAAAACAGGGATTACAAGTCAATAAACCAGCGGTGAAAAATGGCGAATCTTCCAATAATAATAATAATGAAGTTTCAGACGCCGCTGAAGAAGGTGGTGTACCGAAAGACATTTATGATTTATATGATAAAATTGATGGAAATGACGATGATGAAACAGAAACATTGCAAGTTGTGTCATTTGAAATTAATCAAGATGATATTGAAACATTGCAAAAAAGATGCATTGAATTAGAATATCCCTTATTAGCGGAATACGATTTTCGAAATGACACTGTGAACCCAGATTTAAAAATGGATTTAAAACCAACAACAGTCCTGAGACCTTATCAAGAAAAAAGTCTCAGAAAAATGTTTGGCAATGGAAGAGCACGTGCGGGTGTAATTGTTCTTCCATGCGGTGCTGGAAAGACTTTAGTTGGTGTCACTGCAGCTTGTACTGTTCGGAAACGTTGCATGGTTTTGTGTACTTCTGGAGTTGCAGTTGAGCAATGGAGATCGCAATTTAAAATGTGGTCTACTGCCGATGATTCTATGATATGCAGATTTACGTCTGATGCAAAAGATAAACCCCATGGATGTGGTATTATTATTAGTACATATTCGATGATGGGACATAGTTTTAAACGATCCTGGGAGGCTGAACGAGTAATGGAATGGATAAGGAGTCAAGAATGGGGTTTGATGGTATTAGATGAAGTCCACACAATTCCTGCGAAACAGTTCCGAAGAGTTTTAACAGTTGTACAAGCACATTGCAAACTCGGACTCACTGCAACATTAGTAAGAGAAGATGACAAAATTTCAGATTTGAATTTCCTCATTGGACCAAAACTATACGAGGCAAATTGGATGGAGCTTCAAAGTGGGGGATATATTGCCAGAGTGCAATGTGCGGAAGTGTGGTGCCCCATGACTCCAGAATTTTATCGAGAATATTTGGGGTTACAATCAAGAAAGCGTATTTTGCTCTATGTTATGAATCCAAACAAGTTCAGAGCTTGTCAATATTTGGTTAAATTTCATGAGCGACGTAACGATAAAATTGTGGTATTTTCTGATAATGTATTTGCTTTAAAAGAATACGCTGTACGAATGGGAAAGCCATATATTTATGGACCAACGTCACAAGGAGAAAGAATACAGATATTACAAAACTTCATACACAATCCAAAAGTGAACACTATTTTTATTTCCAAAGTTGGTGATAACTCGATTGATCTTCCTGCTGCAAATGTATTGATACAAGTTTCATCACATGGTGGTTCTCGTAGGCAAGAAGCACAAAGATTGGGAAGAATCCTCCGAGCTAAAAAAGGCAGCTTAGCTGAAGAATACAATGCTTTTTTCTATTCACTCGTGTCACAAGATACAAAAGAAGTGGCTTATTCGACAAAAAGACAAAGTTTTTTAGTTAATCAAGGCTATGCATTTAAAGTTATCACTAAACTACAAGGCTTAGATGAAGATAAACAACTTGCATTTGGCACGAAAGAAGAACAGCACAATCTTCTTCAAAAAGTTTTAGCGGCCAGCGACCTTGATGCTGAGGAAGAGATGATGCCCGGTGAAGGTATGTCTTCATCACGACAAGGTGGAGTGAAACGTAAAACGACAATGTCATCGCTTTCTGGGGCAGATGATGCGGTGTTTCTGGAATATAAATCGAAAAGGGACAAGAAACATGACCTTTTTAAGAAATTCCGTGGTTGAATCATCTGGTGCGAAAATTAGTAATACCAGGATCCACGGACGAAAAGGGGGGATTACAACGGTATAAGACTTTTCGACTGAAATGGATACTCAGCGACCAACTTCAAATTTTGATGATTTCTTCTATCTATTCAAAAAAAACTTGGTTTAGCCATTGATAAAAATAATTGCTTTTTCCGCTCAGATTGTGTATTCCAGCTTATTTGCGAGTTCGGTGCTTTTTTACAATGTAATATTTGACAACGCATTTCATGCAACCTTTCCTGCTTTTTATGTTACCATTATGTTCCACATATACATATAGTCCTATGGAATATTATCTCAAATATGTTGCAATTTATGTTCCAGTATAATACAGTGCATTCAGATAGGTCATTGTTTCATTTTTTTGTAAAAAACGTTATTTAAAAAAATGCACTATTGGGTCCCTATTTACTGATACTCCATAATATGACATTACTCTTACCAATGCTATTAGTATAGTTAATAGTTATAGTACTGTGTTCTGGTTGACTAGGATTCTGAAATAAAATTCTTATTCGAAAATTAGTGATCAATGTTGGAATACTGCTCAATTCTCAATTTTCAATAATTTCAAATTTTATTATCAAGAAGTCATTAAAATTTTAGAAAATAATCATAGTTTGTTTGAATTTATAGAGTATCAAAAAATTATTGTCACCAATTTCTCATTGTATCTTGGATATTATATACATATCATAATTATGATTACTAATGCTGTAATGCTGATTATCCCAACATTAACCATTATTTAAATCAAACCCAATATTAAATCATTTAAAGAAGTGATTTCCTGTTAAGTTCAAACTTTTTCTAAGCTGTTGCAGTGAAGCACAACCAGAAAGTGAATTTTGATAGTAAATTTTTTATTCTCTTTGCTATGCGAATGTGCTTACATACACTGAATTTAGTTGCTAATCCTATTGTTTGCCAGTTCAGTTCTTATTCAATACCAGTGTTATTTTTCATGTACATTATAAAATCATCATAAAAAAACATATAAGTTCTCATTGAAGATAACTTCCTTATTCAAATAAAGATACAATCAAGGCTAATAATACTTTGATATTTCACACTGTTCCAGTCATTTGAGTGAAAAAAGTCCAAAATTGAAAAAAATATTCCATTTTCACAGGCCGTGATTTTGATTTTAAAATAATTAGAATCTGTATCAAATGGTGCAGTCATTCGTGGCTGCGTATTTGAGGTCGTCTCACTCAAGATGACAACAACGATGGTAGAATTTAATTTGAAATCAAATGAAAATAATGTAAGTCTTGTTTCGAATCAAGAGAAAAAAGAACATTCTGAGACAAACAAATCGGATCTATCACCTTGCAGAATAACAATGCTGTCACGAAGAAAGAAAAGGGGCAAGTGTTAGTTATAACTTCGTTGTTTAATAAATAAATATATATTTTATCAAGATTCAAAATGAATATCTTGATATTATTTGAGAGATGTAAAAATTTCTGGCTTTATTCTGAAATTTGCCATTTTAATCCCAAAATTGTGATACATGTTACCTCATGGATTGAACTGTGACACATTCGTGATTTCGTTAATTCAATATCCAACTGAACTATGTCTACAAAACATTTTGCCAACACTACTGGACAAGTGTAGTGAACTTATAAAAACACTTTCATATCAATTTCACACAGTAATATATCACAATTTTGTCAATAAAATAAAAATTTTAATTTTTTTCCAGCTATCGATCGTCATGGCGTATTTGCCTACTTTTATTGTTTACGCACGTTTTTCTAAGACAATATTTAGATTAATTCATTGCAGGAGGATTTATATGATATATTAAAACATGGAGAGCCCTTTAGCACTCGTTAGGTGATCATTTCCTATAACATTTATATCTAAGCATATATTTATTTTGCAGGGCGGATACCTCATCTGTTTGAACGTAGCTCCAAAAAATGGTGGAATCCGCAAATGGATTCAGAAATTCTTGAAAAACAATGTTTGGATTTCAGTCTCGAGCAAAGCATGTAAGAAAAACTTTTTATGGTTTACACAAAAGTTGGAGTCTTGCACCAATTGTCATTTACTGACCCCATCGTTTCTATAAGGTTCGATTTTAGCATTTCCAAGGTTTGATTAGTAAAGAGCTGCTTTTTTTCTGTGTCATCGCATGACCTTGATATAAGCAAACATAAATACGTCCATTATCATCTCTCAATAAATAGAAATGAGATATTAAAGGTATTTTCGAATGTCATAAAAGAAAAATCGAACTGTTTAATGATCACATACCTACAAAACTATATATCTATAAAAACTGTTATTAAGTAGCGCAATGCTAAATAACTTACAAGATTTTATTTGAATTCGAATGATTTTATATCTATACTCTAAATCCTTTAAGAAATTTACAATATAACAGAGTAACCATGATTTATTGGTAGAATGGATTTTCTGTGAGCACAAAAACTCTTAAAAGTACAGTCAGCAAATATTGACTTGAGTAATTTTGTTCTAAAGAAAATGGGGCAATATAATGATGGATCATGACAGTTAACATAAAACTAATGAAGCTATAAATCAAAATATTTTGTTGGCTTATTTCCAAATTTTTATGCTTTGAGTTTCGATGATGTGTGCAAGTTCTGAATTATCTAGGATAAGAATCTATCTTTTCAATACAACAATTCAATATTGCTTTCCATTCTTGTAATAAAATGTACTTTGCTGTTCTTACCCTTTTACTATTCCTCATTTCAGATGGTATTTTCAACTTGCACTTGTCTTTATAATGGTCGCATGCATAGTTTGGATAATATACTTCGGATCGAGGCAGCAGCCAGACGAATGGATTGCAGGCGTATCATGGGCGTCGGTCTTGACTATTATCTGTATTATGTTATTTGTGGTCACTAAAAAGTAGGTTGTTATTATAGTCATTATTATTTTGTAATTTTTATATTACTATTAAGTCTATATTTGAGATATGTGTAATAGAAAATGATAGTTGGTTGCTATATGTTATGTCAGCTTCTTTAAACATCTTTCTATTTGTTTTTGTTGCGAAGTTGTGATTTTAGATTTGTTGTGGAATAATTCGAAACATATTTATTTTGTAATAAAACCAGATTAAGGTATCTTCTTGAAATTAGGGTTTGGAAGAGATTTTTCCAATTCTAAATTGATAATAGGCTGAATATTTAGCTTATATATAGTTATGTAACTAAATATGTTTAAGTTTAACGAATTCGGTTTGAATGCAATTCAAAATTAATAATTTCCGCAAGTCCTTTCTAAAGAATTTTAAAAATTTAAATTATCAAATTTATAATGTAAATGATGTCATATAGCTATGTTTTGAAAAAGCTTGAAATTCAATTGAATTACAGAAAATAGCCCAAAAAGATCTTAATTAACATTTATCAGAATTTCACTTTTCATTTCAGAACCAAATTTTATAAGAAGTTCAGCTGCTATATAGCAATCGGAGTTGCTGTTATTTTAATTTTGACAGTACTGCTGGCTGCATTCTTCAGCTCAGTCATAATGACAAGTGTAGGCTCATTTTTTCTTGCTTCCGAAGTCATCCTACTTCTATACACAGTCATGCCTCTGCCGCTTCACATCAATTTTGCACTCGGACTAGCATTTTCATTTGCATACGAGGTAAGATGTTTTTGTTTTGTCACATTGGTGTTTAATAAGTTCTAAATTTCAAAATAAAAGGCTGTTTTGCGAGAAATTGTCAAATTTGTTAAATTTTTTCTCACTTGAATTCATGAATATATCTGACTTTGAGAATCAGTAGTAACATACACCTAAAATATAACCTCTCCAAATATATTTGGCTTTGTTTGAAATGCATTCTTTTGATAAATTAGGTTTAGTACAACATCACAATGGTGACCTAGTTATAGTTTTCACTCAAGAGAAATCACAGAATTTATTTTGATAGCAATAAAAAATGTTGAAATCAACATTTTCTCTCGATCTGATTGAAATTACTTCATATTATAATGATGTATTATGCCAATAGAACAAAGTAAAATTTCCCTCATAGCATGGTTTTTCTTTGGGATAATACATCATTATAATATGAAGTAATTTCAATCAGATCGAGAGAAAATGTTGATTTCAACATTTTTTATTGCTAATTCTCACTTGGACATACCTATGGCGTCTTAAATTATCAAATTCCATTTTTTTAAATTTTACTAATTAGTAATTATCTTCCAGATTATTTACCGAATTGGGTTATGGGAAGCAACACCAGGAGACATCATTGCACACATATTTCTACATCTCTGTATACATGTTATCGGAGTTCAAATCTGCCTCAATTTGCAAGTAAGAAGAAGGAGTACATTTTGGAAGGTATGAATATTGAATATCTATTCAGTAGTAATAGTAATAAAGGCTTCAAAAACTTTTAATGTCCTTTTCTTATGCATTACCACAAAAAGTGTTGCAATAATAAAATAGGCCTATATATAAAAATGCATTGCTTTTATTATTAATAAGAATATACCATATTCATTTGTCAATTGTCATTGAGGGGAAAAATGCTCTAATATTAATTTTATTAATTGTTAAAAAAAGTACTTTGATACATACATAATTTGAAAGCCAAATTTTTTTAATATGCATTATTTTTGGAAGGGTATGCATAGTAGTTTGGTACTTGTTGTTTACAATCAATATATATTCAATTAATAATGAAGTTAGGCTTTCCTATCAAAATTAGTATTGTGGTGGTGTTCATTAATTATCTGTATTTCCATTGAAGTCAACCTTTCATTGAAAGTGTCACTTGAAATTATATTTTTAAATAATTAAATACATTGGAATTTCACACACATATTGATTGACCTTTTGAGTGTTATCACGCAACCGAGGCTGAATTAAAATTTATCTCGACTAAATATCATGGTTTGTCGCCCATTGTTTGATTTAGCCCACATCATTTTACGTCAGTATATTCAAACTTTAAGGTCCTTATCTTTTGTTAACAATTTCCTACATTGTTGTTTTCTTATATAAGTTGGCCATGTTTTGGAATTCTCAAACTTTTATACAAAATTTGTTGTATTAGAAAAATAGTTATATTTATATATATTGATTATTATTACAACAATTTGCAGTACTGTTCTATTTGGAAAAAGTAATGGTATAGATATCCAAATATTTACTTTATAATTCTACTTGCAATTCATTTTAAATTTATGTATATTAAATTTGCTCAATTTTGTAGTCACTTCTTGGCCAAACTTAAAGGTCAAATTTTTCCTGCAACTGCTGTTAAATTTACTGTAAAACAGTATGTATTTGTGTTTTTTATCTGTATCCTCTTGGAGAGATGAAATGTTTGGGTAATTTATATTTCTGTATTGTACATCCCCCCTCAATAGTATGGTCAAATAAGTTTTTTTGTGTTGTTTAGGACTTGAATATTTTCAATGTTATTATTTTTTATGCCATTGTTCAACCAAATGACACATATACTGGCTAGTGCAACCGCATGTTGTAATTACATATATCAATGAAAAGTAAAGTAAGCAGTTAATGGTATAACAACCTCAACCGACACATTCTTAACCCGGGTGAATAGTTTAACACAGCGCGAATGCTCCAGTTCGCTGCACTTAACACCAGTTCTCAGCAGCCGTCGCTAAATCGAGCGAATAGTAGTAGCACGAAAAGTCATTTATCCTCGCAGACGACGGCTGTGCCAAATTGTGCCGTTCTCCTTAGTATGTGAACGGGTGTCAAATTGCGGTTTAATGACTTTGCGTCGCTCGGCGGCACATATCACGCAGAGTTGGAACGAAGATCATCAATCTTCCTCGCTCTCGTGAAGCATTTTTCATTATCATTCTATGTTTCAAGCACTTTTCAAAATAATACATGTTATTTACTGATAAACGTTCAAGAATGATCGACACCGCAACACTCCCGGTTATCTTCTAATTTGGGTCAGTTTTCAGCAAAAGTATGAACTTAATAGTCCCAAATAGCAGCAGATGGATATTGAAATTTACAATAAAGATGCTCAATCATACATCTTTTCATATAAAGTCGATGCTAGGCTGCTAGCCTTGCGTAAAATACACATGGGCTACTCTTGGCATTATATAAATAGGATAGCTGTGGCCGCCGATCAAATCGTTATCATTATAAAAATTGAACTGTCAGTTGGATTCCGATGGCCAGTCAATATCATGAATAATTAATAACTTCAACAACCAGTAGGTTATATTATATAATTTGTCAATCTAATATATGACGTACATTGCCCTTTACAATACCTCAAAATAGTACTATGCGGAATTTAAATAGGTATAGATCAATATTTCAATGTTTATTCATTTTTGTGGTATTAGACTGTTGCATTTAATATTATTTGTTTTGTTCCTACGAAATTGCATTCATTATCGTAATGATAAAAAGATAAACATTAGCGGTGTTTAACGAGATGCAAAATGCACATTGCCTATCGGATATGAACGCGCTTATAAGCCACCTTTACGTATAAGAAAATACTATATCTACATCGGTATATTATGAAATGAATTTTGATCATTACCATTCGGAATTGTACCATATGCAGCATGATCTTCAGAATTTTGAAGGTCCATTATTCACCGAAAACAAGTATGCTTTGGATTTTGAATTCGTTTAAACTAAATTCATCGGCTACTGATAGAAGTAGAACTTCGTTCCGCGCGCACAGTAGACATACCGTCTGTCGGAACATTTACGTCATTGTGTTTTCCACAAGACGCAATGGTGAATGGTTATAAAACCGGAAGTATTCTCATGTCAAGTGTTATTCATGAGTCAACAAACTTGGTATTAGATAACAATATCATGTTTTCGGACTTATTCATATATCATATATGCCCGAGCGTACTTTCGCTTTGTTATGAGTCTTGGAAACCGTCTACATAGGTTTCTTTTGACCGACCCTTTTGATCAAGCCGGTGCCTTATACTCAACAAAAAGCGAGCATGTATCAAATTTATATGGAGAAAACTTCCCTTTGTTTTCTTTTTCATTTTCATCACATTATGACGACAAAATGCGTCAATGGCGATGGAAGTTGAATGCGGTGTTTTGGTGATATGACTACAATATAAAATAGATTGTTAATGTTAATAAAAAGAATTCATTCGTGTTTGAGAAAGGATTCTAGACTAAATTGCGTAATCGTAATGACATTCATCTATTGTACAACCTATCATAAAGGTCCCTGGAAATTCAACTCAAAAAACTCGGTAACGAGGCTAAAATACATGACATTATACAAACAACCAATCATAAAAACCTATTTAGGGTTGGAATTCCTTTTATCTGTTTTCAATATTTTCGTGGAATAAGTTTTCATGGTGGGATCTTACAGACGAGGAGATTTTCAGAGTGTTTTTCCTTGAACGGAACCCGACCCATTTACATATAGTATAGTACCCCCTAAAAATTTAACATGCTGCTAAGGCGACCATTCAAATTGCGATTGAGGCCTTAGAATATCCTTTCCTATTCTTGCCTAACTGTTAACTCCCAGGGCCGGACGTAATTTCCTATACAATACCGGTTTGCTTATAGCAATGTTCCATTACATTCGGTAGAGTAATCGAATATAAACTGAAAAAAATTCGCCGTTATTTTCTCAAATATCATACTTTTCATCAGCAGTTTGTTCAATGATTGATTTGTTTATGATCTAATACGAATAAAATGTGTATTTCTAAATGAAATTTTGGCCGTTGAATATCTTGCATTCAATTTCAACTATCATGGGAACGTTTTTGTCCTCGACTGATAAATTTCGCTTTTCTCAATACCCGCGTTAATGACTACCGGGAATTCGCTAGGTCTCTTCATCACTCATGGTAAAGTTGTTCACATTGTTCGATCTCTATCAATAATGGTTATCCGCGATAATCAAACATGATCTTCGCTGTTTCTCTCTAGTTATCTAAACATCGCTATCGACGATCAAAGATTCTAATCAAAAAATTACTTTTTCGATTTGAGTTATTACCCGTATCGGTTGATATGATGATACGTTTTGTTGACATGTTATTCCTAAGAAGCGATGTTTTAGAGTTTGGCGCAACACAACAACGTAAACTTGGCAAAACTTTTCCGATGTTCCTATTCAAACCAGTTGGAAATAACGCCGATAAAAATATTTAACAGGCTGACATTTTAGTTAGAAACTTGTTTGAACCCAATAATAAAGGTGCAAGTAAAAGTCTAAAATACATTCTTTATTGCTGAATGCTTAGATAATGAACTTTCAACTTGATGCCTATGCTTTATAATAATGTTCACAAGAGAATAGTGTGGTGTCAGAATAAGTTTTAAAACTGCGATTGGAAATTTCAATTTGGTTACCGGTATTTTATTTTTATAATTTATAATTTCACGAAATCAGTAAACTTTTTTATGCTGTATTACGGTTTTACTACTTTTTTTTCAAGAAAAAACAAGAATTATTTGATTATCAGAATTCATATATAAATATTTCTACAAATATCAGAAATATAGTATAAACCCATTTATTCAGACATCCTTACATATTTGAAATAACATTGTTGCTTATTCCAGTTATCCGAAATTCAATTCTGCATATGATTTATATTTTGAACATCTTTGAAGCAAAGGTAATTAATTAAAGCACCGTTTTTGTAACCACGGGGCAATTCACGATAATGAGCCCTATGAAATGCTACGACAATACGGCAACGCTGAAAGGAGTGTGAAAGTTCATCTAATGAACTACTAATGACATGGCTTTTAGCGTAAATGTCCTTTTAGAATCTATATTCGACTTCCTGGATCGTTGAGTTCAAAATGTTTCGTCGATTGCTCTTGCTTACAAAACTGCAAGAAATGAAGCAGACTATTCCAAACCGAAAAGCTTCGGATCGGTTCAGAACCCAGCAATTTCATATACCTGAGTGGTCAATTGCACATTAAAATCAATATATAATATACATTGGCTTAGTGGTCAAACACAGAATACTTGTTTTGTTCAGTTTACGACACGAGTCACACAATTTTCTGGTAATTTGCACTATTTTACTCCAGTGTCCTATGGGACGACGATTCAGTGACCCATTGTATGATGTGATCCGTTTTCCGCGGTTATGCAGGGCATGGTATATTTTCGTAAACAATCTTTACTAATGTAAGGAATTCTTTTACGACTATCGATAATAATAATCTCTTTTAACGCAATAAACTGTATTTTGGAAGTCGAATGGCCACTTTGGTTCACACGTTTTGTCAATTTTTTAGAAGTTTAATGGCGAATGCAAATTTAAACTACAAAAAATCGTTCGCAATATCCCAATATACGGTATTTTGCA